CTCTCTCTCTCTCTCTCTCTCTCTCTCTCTCTCTCTCTCTCTCTCTCTCTCTCTCTCTCTCTCTCTCTCTCTCTCTCTCCCTCTCTCTCTTTGGTTGCACAGTGACCTAGTTGATATTCGAGATGGGTGAGTTGCTTGCTAGAAGCTGTCTGATATCTTTGATCCTGCATATTGACCCTTGAGGGCAAGCCCGTCGCTGCCTTCTTGTCTCCAGGCCCATCGAGTTTGCCCATCGCCCATCGTCCTTGTCAGCACGATGGGCGACAATCGGCAATAGGAATCCCGTCCCGACCCTGATGGAAAGTCTTCCCTTTGTTCAGCACTGGGCACTATGCATCATTGATTGTGAGGTGATAGACTCATCTGACCCCATCAGCCGGGACGTTTTCCTAAGGGCCAAGTATTTTGACCTTAGTGTGAGTCTGGAGACCTGCTTCAGTATAATATGCAAGAGTCGATCGTACAACAATGTGAGCCAGGGCAACAATACCTGGGAGGAAAAGGCTGTTAAGATGATTTCGGCTGTGCAAGATCTGGGAGTGACGATGAAGTCAGATGAATGGATCTTATTACGCGGTGCGTATTCTTCTTGATAGGTGCGGAAAATTCTTAATTCGATCTTAAAATCTAACATATTTCCGATAGGTTGGCAGATGTCTATGAGTTGGGGAGAGTACCGGCCCTTTCTGTGGAACTGCCAGCAATTTGCCTTATTTCTCACGCAAATGGCCATTAACACGACCGAGTCAACCGAGATTATTCGATCACTTCTAAGGATGCGTGAAAAATGGGTATTTGGTGTATGGGGAAAGAGGCATCTGGGGTGCACGGCAGCTGCGTGTGCCGGCACCTTCATTCCGGTCATTGGGCCAGCGGTAACATTTGGATCCTGGGCTACAGCGGGCATTTATATGCTCACCGATCAATGGAAAATCAAGGCCATCCGGAAGACATATAAGCAGTTGTCTAACAGGTACGAGGAGTTAGAAAGATTGTGTTGGAGATGACGTACATATACTAAATAGGAGACTGGTCTCCTACGGGGTCCGCTAGTACCTCTACGAGCGAGCCGAGAAGTTGAGAAGTTCTCCATCTTGTGGCTACAGGTGTCAGAAGTTGAGAGTCAGTCACGAAAGAATCGACGCCATAGGGACCCCGATTGAGATAGTAGCTAGTTCGTATCAAAACCACGATTGACCTGGCTACAACTTAGTATTGACATTGAATTTTGGAGGTACCTTTCTTTGAGGTGAATCTTCGCCCGATATTGGTACTTCTACAGGAGTGGGACCTAGTCGATGTCAGGCATCTTACGCTCATGAATAGTTGTGGCAGCAATCTCCGAAAGTCAAGTGGACTCGGAATTTCCCTCCCCCTACGAGATATTGGTCATTGAGAGATGACCTGTCTTGAAATTCCTGTAGCTATGATGTGCACCTTTGATTCCGTCGCCGATTTGCTTGTTGATCAGAAAGAAGCATACGAAAGATGGGTAATTTATTTTGGCCACGGCTCAGTCGTCAAGATTGGTTGGTCTATAATTCACGGCGATAGAAATCACAGCATTCAATGTTTACTTGCTTGGCATTTTCCAGTGACTTGTAACTTGAGCTAAATATAGCAACTTCGAGCCTGATTAGTCATTCGGTCTCGGACTGTTAATTACCACGTCGAATCTTAGTTCACGGCGATTTCTCCGCCCCCAGTTATCGCTCTCGACTATTTCCTTGTATTACGTTCTTCTTGCCACGAGATCAATATGGCTCGATTAGCCCAGACTAAATGCTGTATTATTTGCGGCCATGAAGTCTTTCGGCCTAGACCGATGGGCCAGGACATTCCGGCCCTGACTTGGAGGCAAAGATACCGCATTGGTATGTTCTGACCACAACCATGCTCTCTCACGCAACGTTACTCACCACCAAACACAAGTTTACCAAGATCTTCAGCATTCCACGAGATTAAGCGGTTTAGCCTCTCACCGTGATTCCCGGGGACATTCCTGGTATGCACCATGGGATTACGACGATACCCGCGAATATTCAGGCATCGCCAACCTGCCGGAGCGTGAATCAATCCGCGTGATGGATTGTCATTCTTCCTCAGAGAACCATCTGCGATACGGATTTCCTGCGCACGCGAACTGCTGGATCCTGCTCCAAAAAGTTTATTCTCCAACCCCCGTTCCCTACGACATGCTCTTCAACGTCTGCAAGTCGCTGGAGGGACCAGAGCCTGATAGAATTCTCGACTGGGGTCACGATTATGGGGGCGCGTTACTGGTCACTTACGGTGATAGAGTTGAAGGTCGTAATGTGGATGACATACGTGATACTCCTGGATTTTTCCACCATGATCCCTTTTCTTCCGACGAAATTGAAGGTCTTCTTCGTCGGAGTTCCGAGACACCGCCTTCAGGTGCTGAGGTCTCTCTAGAAACTAGCGTTTTGAAGGATTCCTTGGCTTCATTGCCGTCAGATGTGCGCTTTTTAATTGCAAATCTGCTTCCAACAGACGATCTCCATGCCTTGCGGCTCGCGTCTAGGGCATTCTACTTCATATTTCACGAACAGTCTTATTGGGCGCTGAGATTCGTCCCTGGAGGAGAAAGAGATTGGTTGTTTGAGGCCACAGGAATTGCGAAGGTTCAGAAAGTTGACTGGAGAGCACTCTACAAAACCACGAGCCACTTCGAGTGGCTTCCACCAAGTCTTCGCAATAGATCGAGGATTTGGAACTTCGCGAAGCTTATCAAGGATGCGACACCATCTTCCCCGATCACATCTGTTACAAGACCCTCCATATTTGGCCTTGATTGTGAGTTTGATGTCTGGGCAGAAGTGACTTCCAGTCAACTTGATACAACACGATCAAGTGAGGATAGACCCAAAGTAGAGCTCCCTAGGCAAAAGTTCCAGCTCCCTGGTCCACTGGAAGAGATCAAAGCATACTTCATCCGGCTTGGTTCAGCTGAATTCATCTCCGGTATCACCTTTTTCATGACTTCTAACAGGAGTAGGCACATAGGGTACAAATCAGGATCAGTGCGTAGGCTAAAGCTGCGCGAGGATCCGATTGGCTTCAATCTTCAGCTCGAATATTTGGGCATTCTTTCCATTCAGGCAGTGTACTCCAATGGAGATATATCGGAATGGCTCGGAGATGGGCTTTGCATGCCAACAACGAGGAGGCTTGTACTCCATGACAAAATTACTGCAGTTGAAGGCGTGTTTGATGTCTGTACAAGCCTTCTAACCTCTGTCGAGCAAAGCTTACCAATGACTTTCTTAGGGCTGCAAACTGATAAAACTGTCGTTTTCAAGACATCCACCAAAGACAATGGAAGAAGAAGACGCAATGAGCAAGAGAAGATCATCTGTTTTTCACTCCGGAATTTGGTACCCAGAAATGCCAGGCATCACAGCAAATTTAAACGAGAAGTATGCAGTGCTTCCCTATGACTTTTACCCGACTCTAAAAGGTGAAGCGGTGCATGGATCGAGGTATCTTCCACTCTGCTTCACGAGGTTTGGGAGTCATGATGGTCAGCTACTCGGGTCTCTGTCTACAGTTCGTGGGACACTGAATACGGCAATTGCCTTCACATACGAATCAGACGATTCCTCTTCAACAGAGGGGTCATGGCCAAGGGGATATGGATATAGAGCCACGGAGCATCCCCACTTTCAGATTGATGGCAAAGGTGGGGAGCGGTTTGTCCGAGCCATATTAACAATTGAAGGGGATCTAAAACCAAATGAGGAGCCTTTAATCCACGGAGTGCTCAGTTCTGCTACTGTATGTTGAGCTATACCTCTTACTTCCACAGCTTTCTCAACTTGAGACTCAATGGTATGGCATCATTGAGTGTCTAACCTTTTTCTTCTAGCTTATAACGGACCGCGGGCGGGAGTGTGAGTTGTGCAACTACGGCCATCAATATGACGGTGTCTTCCATACTATTGAACTCAAGTTACAGCCTTTAGAAACGATTACTGGAATATATGGGGTCCCTGTAAGTCTTGAGAAAGCGACGTTATATCTAGGAGAGATTTGCGCTAACCGCAATATTAAGGGTGGAATGTCCTTGGGTATAGTCTCGGAGAAGGCCAACGACTCACCGGCATGATGGTAGTGGAGGTTCCTGATCATGCCTCCACCAATTCCGCACCAGATATAGGTTGATGCATATATCAGCTCTTGAATTTGAGTATATTTAGTGGAGGTCAGTTGAAGGATACACCGAAACCGAACTAAAAGGGTGAGATTTGTTAGGGCGGTCGCAAAAAAAAAAAAAAAATATAACTGATAGCCACTTTGCTGAGGAACTGTCAAGATAACTGGATGTTTTATATTGTGCTGGTGATGTTTACCTGCCATGTTTGATTTCATTTGCATAGTATCAGACCAAAATAATTCCTCTTTTGACTATACTAAGAAGACCACACCAAACTGACTGTTTAGTTGACACTAATAATTGCTCGCCTAAAGGATGCGAGGGGTGGAGTTCCATTGTCAACCACTCGGCTGATAATGTGAATTTTCGTTCGTGATTCATTTCTTGGTATTCTCAAAGAAAGGTTGGGTGTATCTTTTCCTTGAAACGAGAGGCCACCATAATACCCTCCAGCACCTTTGTCATGGAACCAGTCGAACGTTAGCGAATCTCCGTCTTCGTCTCTTGAACCCTCTGCGCTCAAACTGACGACATCGCCAGGACGAGCTTTGAGAGCAACTGGCGAAAATCCACCTTTGCCTTGAAGAACGGTTACTGGATTCCGGTTCCCTGCACCGTTTGCTGCCCAGTCCATTCTTGCGATGAAGTCATTTATATGATATGGGAGAAGACTGGTGACTGACTCCTTGCTCCAAGCTGCGGTTTGAGGCGAAGAATCAGTCCAAGTCGTGGTCACGTTGTCCGGAGTCAGCTCCCAGGAGAACTTCCCCGCAAAGCTCGACTGTCTTGGGTCCTCGGGGTCATTGAGGCCAGGCCAGACATACGCGAAACAGGGCGAGTCCCCCTCGGCAATGTACCTCCATTTGGGATATTTCTTCCCCAGAGCACCCTTGCCTTGGATTTCGGTCACGTAGTGACTATCCCAATACGTATCTCGAATAGTTCGACCGTAAGCGACCCAGGCAGACTCGCTGGAGATGTAAAAGAGCTCGGGGAAAGTCTTCCGCATCCAAAATTGCGAGCTGTTCGTATAAGGGGCCCCTTGATCGCGATCTTGATCAGTTATGGCATACACCCGAAGCTTGGATAAGAAGGCAGAAAGTTCGGCTTCTGACCGGGTGCGGCGGACATCCCAGATGGACTGGGCTAGAACGTTGGCTCCTCCCCAAACTCCAACATAGATAGGTCTCTCGTCTGCCTCATCAACTAAATCAATGATGAAATTTGAGCCATCTGTGTCTTTGCCATCTCCAATTGAGCCGATTCCCCGCTCTGGGTAACCATTTTTAATGATGCTTTCGAGGTATTCCGGGCTTGGCCAGTAGCCAATCTTTTGTTGATCCTCGGATTTTTGAAACGCGGCTTGGTTGCTTCGCTTCATCAAATTCGGCAAATCAGAACGGTAGCTTTTGATCACATCTCGTATATGGTTTGGACCGAGTGGCTCAGGAGGAATGCTCCATCCAGATGTGGCGATGAGAGCCTCGATTTCGAATAGATCAGCGCTTGCAAAAAGATGCACCATCGATTGCATATCATCAGGCTCCCATGAGGCCTGAGTGATATCAGTCAGAACAATGATACGTGGTTTCAAAGTAGCTATTTCTGGTTAATAACTGCTTCCTTGGGAAAGATCGAGGATAAGTACCATGCTGAGAGATAGTGCTGGCCGTGACCAAGCTGAACACTGCCGCAAGAGCTAACGGCAGCTTCATATTCAAGGTTTAGGTGAGTTTGTCTCGCGAGTGAGCGGAGATTCGTTTAGAGATGTACTAAGTTGACTCACTTCCGTCAAGCTCTTCTTGAAACGGCTACAATACTTATATTCAATGATTTGAAATATATCTTATAGACTTGCAATAGGCCAACAATAACTCTTCCAAGGCGCTTAAAATTGCCAAATGGATAAAATCGAATCGTAGCCTCAATCGGGCCGTTCACGGTGGAGATGAGAACAACCGATCCGAGTCTCCAATAAGCCCCAGCAACGAATGGGTCATTAGAGAGATGAGGGGCAGTCGGCTGATTTTCACGGCCATTTCCCAGAACAGAGTCGGGATTATAAAGTGCAGGCGAGCCAGGGAAGCATAACATTATAGGCTGTTTGCAGGTGCCTCCAAGTGGAGCATGAGATGGGGATTGTGATTCCCCATGGGGATGAGAAATGTCAAGACTTGTGCCTAAACCTGCCTTATTGAGAATTGAAATAGATTATCCTTCCCCGCATGCCAAATATGGCAACCTAGAACGCTGCCGTGAAAGGACAAGTAGGTAGTATCTCATACGTAATGGCAGTTTTCCAGGTCATCCAAGCGCTGGAGGTTTTTGTTTGAGCAGTGGGGCTGTATGAGGGGAGACAGTTCGAGCGTAAAGTTAAAAACAACAATCGAAGATGCCAGGCACGATATCTCAACACAGTTAATAAGACAGTAGGGCTGTACACACCGCTCAAATATACAACCCACCACTCTAGTTGGATCTAAGCAGCTGATGGCCTCAATGAAGGATCTCTCAGTTTCATCCGCACGTTGACCGGTTTCTTCTCCACCAGTAAGAAAGTCCTCAGATCCTCCCAGCGCAGGTCTGGCCCGCCGGCTGAAACTCAAATATCCATACAACGCTTACCAGGATGAGCCTCATCTCAGCCATCGCTAGATGTTGTCCCATGCAACTGCGTGGTTCCATACTGAAGGGTTGAAGACCGTGCCGCTGGTCTTTGTAAAACATAGAGTTACTGTCTGCGATAACCTCGGGGAGCCATCGCTCAGGAACAAAGTTGGTCGGTGAATGGAAGTAGTAAGGGTCTCGGTTCATCGTGTATGCTTGGATCGATACAGACGTCTATGAATGGTTAAAGACGGGGTCCATGTTAGCGTAGGCTGACCAAAAGACATCTCCGTATTTACGGGGAACATCAAGAGATAAACCTACCCTTCCGGGCAGCCAGACGCCACACACGGTATCTCCTTGTAGCGGTACCTTCCTCGGAAGTACCCAAGGGATTGGAGGACAGAGCCGAAGGCCCTCCTTGATGACAGCATTGAGATACGGCAGGTCCTTCTGAGTGTCTAACTTGATCTCTTCTCGACTTTTGAAGGCACCGAATATCTCGGACTCCAGCTTGCGAAGCTTGTCCTGGTTGCCAGTTAAGTAATTCAGAGTCCCTGACAGAACCGTGGCCGTTGTTTCACTCCCCGCCGTTGTCAAAACCATGAACGTCGAGTAGATCTGATCGGTGGTCATCCCTTCTGGCTCATCCTTGGTCATCATCACATGCGACATTATGTCTGGGCGGTCTAGCTCCCAGTTGAAACGCCGATTGACCTTGTCCACAATCTGTCGATAGTGATCATCTGCCATTTTTTGAAGCGATGCCGGGATGCATTTGAGAAGTGGATACTCAAGTACGGGGTAGTAGCGCGCAGCTGCTACGTAAGAAGCAGCCTTGACGCTGTTGAAGAGAAGTGAGATCCATGGGTGGTAACGGGAGGCTTCCAGACAGTCAAAGGACTCACCATAGCCTCGATCTCCGAAGATATCGAATGTGGTGAAGTTGAACCAGGGCGACATGTCTACCACTGCCTGCTCAGCTTCCTGAGACCGTATCTTTACTGTTTCTTGAAGCCTTTCAACCAGAAGGTTGACATATCGGTGAAGGACATGCTTTTGAGAGCGCAAGGCGCGTGGAGTGAATGCAGGGGCAAGTGCCTTGCGAATCCGAGCGTGCGAGTCTGGGTCAATGGCGCTGATGAGGGAATCAGGCTTGCCGGGCTGTCGCTTCCACCAGACTGGGTCTTTGAGAAAGTGTTGGTGATCAGGCCTCAGCTGGAAGATATCTGCCCACGCATCTGGCTGAGCAAAGGTAACTTCATCCGGCGCGATCCGCAAGATTGGTCCGTATCGGCGATGGAGATCTTGAAAGTCGTGCACAATGGTTCCTCTAAGAAGCGCAAAGACAAATGGCAGCCGTGACGCCGACCACGTAATTGGGCCGGGAACCTTGGCTAGAGGATGGAAATACAGATTGTAGATGATGCGGATGATGGGATACTGGTCATATCAGTTCTTTCTGAATTACATAGAGATTTAGGAAGGTAAGGCCTTGGAAGTCCTTCGACGAACGCACAGTGATCACCAGTGCGAGGGCAGTAGGCCATCGACTCGCCCAAGAGTACATCGCCTCACTAACTGGGATGCTGAGAACTCGCCTGGGAAACACTATGAAGTTATAAAAGGTAGTTTTATTAAGATAGGTGGCAAATTGAATTGCAATGTAGTGGTGGTTCTTGAGCACTCCTTACAACTCCACGTCTGGAACTCTAAACCGTAAGTAATTGCATAAGTAAAAGAAGAGATCCTAGACTAGGAGGTCTTCGTATCATCCTGAACCATGACTAGGGTAGCAACTTGAAATGCGATGGCTCCCGAACCTAGTTGGTCTGTTGCGGATACCGGCTTGCAGGGAAGCGCGAAGGCGAGGTTGAGGTTCACCGTGGGGAGCTTGTAGGAACAAGCGCATCAGAGACTGGTTGATCCTAGTAGTTTGCACGAAGGATCGCAGGTAAGCATGAAAACAACTACTTTATACACACAACATTCTGGATGTTGCCTCCACTAGCATCAACATCTACAAGAAGAGCGTAATCACCACCGCACCGGTCATAAGAAATACGCTTCTCGCTTAATATATCCGTAGCTGTCCAGGCTGTTCTCCAGCTCGCATTGATGTTTCTTCTTGGAGGCGCTGGGGGCATGTGTGGTATTTGGGGAGGACTAGTCGGAGGGAGTCTCCTCCTGATCATATATCTGTCGACGTCGCCGATCCTCTAAAATTCTGCGTGTGAGCCGAGATAAATAAACGGAGGAAGAGGAATCACTTTAATGAGCACAGAAACCTGTGCGGGGATGTAGATGGGCATGGGTGCTTACCTGGGGCCTCAGTGGCTCGCCATGAACGAGTGTGCATTGGCCTGTCGGAACTATGAACCCAGAAGCCGGTTCGCAAGGGCTTTGGTTGCGTCCCTTCCTCCAGCGCCTGAACATTCCCATTCTCGAGTGAGATCACCTCTTGCGCAGGGGACTGTCTCCAGAATTTGGTACCTTTGAAACTTGAGTGCTGCGCCTTAGAGGTATCTTTACCCTGCTGATCGATGAGAACCAGGTCAATAGCCGAATACCAGCTCCATGATGGACAGGATATCACTACATCCGTTGTAGTGGGAAAGGCCCTTTCAAGAAAGCCATCAATCATTGGGAACAACTGCCCGAGAAGGGCTTTCTTAATTTCAGTCCAGTGAAGATCGTTTCGGTCAAGTCCGAGAGAGCTAGCGCTACGAGAACCTTTTGAAAAGGCAACTCGAAGAGTGGCCATGGATGGGAAGAGAGGTGAGGAGTGCTCTCGGGCCCTCTTCTTCGACGTAGTCTTAAAGGCCTCGTCAAAAGGGACACTGTCCAGGTCAAAGACGAGTTCGAGTGAAGTCATGCAAAACAGGGCTTCTTGAGGTAGGACATCTTGAATACTTCGAAGGAGGGCAGGCGAAGCAATGTTGATAGTATTATTCCCATACAGCACGCTGAAGCCCTCGCTGTACCTAGAGTGGGAGAAATATCAGCAATTTGACCTGGTCTCTTTTGAACGGGATAAACCTCACGCTCGTCGGCAGGTGAGGAGCCATCCGAAAATCCCAATTTGGCATTTCTCTGGCCATGTTCCCGGCCATTGCTTACAACGAGCGACACCCTCCAGACATCTGTCATCTTTAGGTTCGCATGGAGCGTCACAGTCTCTGGATACAACCCCGTTTTTGTCGCCGAATTTATCAAGATATCGAGCTGTTTTAGATGTATGGCATGAGGAACGATGGCAGACACACCCAAACCATACCCACTGCTTGGGTTTATTTGTTTGCAGGTGGGAATTATTAACCGTGACCAGGCGTTCGATCTTGGCATGACAGCCAAACCGAGGATCGTTATATCTTTCAATATTTGCCAGATAGTATGGGTACTGGAACTCCAGGCTCATGTGCAAGGTCCGCCCCCCACCGAACGCTTCGTTAAGAATCTGGTAGCGAAGCTCAGGGGGAAGTAAGAAAAACCTATTTGTCCGAGGTGATTCAAAGACCATCTGTGGCTTGTGTATCCCGGGCGCCTTTCGCAGAGGAAGGAAGAACTGTTCTCGGAATGCGGTATCCTGCTTCTTCTGGATTCCCCGTTCCAAGTAGGATAAAAGGCTCTTGAAAACCCCGATGACGGCGGGCGAACTCAGAAGCAGGTATCCCAAAAAGGCGGCGAGCCACGCCAGAGGTATCAAGACGGGCAAGGAAATCATGGGGAGAACCAATGGTATGGACCTAACAACGCCCCTTTTCTTCATCCTATTGCGCAGTGAGCGCCCGGCTAATTTGAGCCATACGATAATGGTCAGTGGGCTCAAAGCCTCATCGCGAAATTCCTCAAGCCCATCCTCACTTGTTTCTATCACCACCTCTAACAACTGTATCAGAAAGCGTTGTAGTCTGTGAGTTGATCTATTCGGCGCCATCTTTGCTGTGCTTGGTGTCACGGTTTATGATTTGCAAATCCCGCAGCTGAGCCTAGCAAGCGACCCGCGTCTTGGTGCCAACAAGTTGGGCCTATAGCGTGGCCGTAGAATAACCTGATCGTGTTGGCACTGATGGACTTGGCCGTAATCTGAGGGGGAAGATGGACGACGCCTTGGCTCGTCGGTTGGAATATTTCAGGAAAATCAGTCGGTCATGTTCTCATCCCCGGCCCCCTATAATAAGTTCAATCCTACGCGTCTGCCTTACAGGGATGTTTATTGGAAACAACACTGCCACAAACCTAATTGTCGCGCGCCTTGGATTATGCCTCGCCGCCTTGTAACCCTAATCGCGATTAAGATTCAACCTTTTCAAGTACTGCGACATGTTCGAACAGTATAATTACTCAAGATTGTTCGAAATAACCCTATCCTGTGGCGGTTTGGCGTGGTTTCACGCCTGGAGACTGGGCATTTGCAGGGGCCCTAGAAACGAACAACACTGTGCCATCGGCTGCATGCAACCAACTCTAAATAGGTAAACTACAAGAATACGGGGCCACTGCATAAACGAGAAACTAAAACAGAGACGAAGCAAAACGCGCGCCGCCTCATGTTGTTTGTTCAAATAAGCGGCCGACATCTTCTTAAGCGAGCCGAGGCAGAAGCTTTGTCAGCCGTATTCGAGATTTTAACTAAAAACAATAACAATGGAGCCTCGGGAGAGTGCTGTCAGGTAAGCTTTGACTAGACACGACACAAACCCGACATACGAGGAACCAGCAAAATGGCCCCAAGCACGAACGACCCCGGTGGCCAGCCGCTGCCACATATGGAGAAGCTCTCAAACGAGGTATCTGTATATCGTCCGCCTGGATATGAGCCCTGGCCTGTTGATGACATGGCCCGCGCCAAGGCAAGCCCGCGGCTCATCATTCTGGGCACCTGGACTGATGCGCGGGACTCGCATATTGCTAAATATATATCAAAATACCAGGAGCTGTACCCAGCTGCCTCCATTCTTTTGATGAAGAGCACGACGAGACTCTTCAACAACACGGCATTGATTGGGCCGGCAGTTCGGCCAGCGTTGGGCATTATCGGAGAGCTCTTCCCTCCATCACCGCCATCTTCACCTCCGTCGTTGTCCATCGCGACACCATCACTCCTGATACACATCTTCTCCAATGGGGGCTCTGCAAGCATCTCCAACTTATATGAGCAGTATGCTGCAACATCAGAGAACGCAGAGGACACGGTACTACCTTATCATGTCACCATCTTCGACTCAAGCCCTTCGGTATTTCGTATCCAGCAGACGGTTGCGTACCTCACGACTGGGCTGTCATCACCCGCGCACCGAATGGTAGCCATTCCCGCTTTGTACACCATCGCCACTGGACTTTCAGCAATGATCAACCTCGGCTTGTGGAAAGACGTACTTCTCCATTGGGGCAAGAGCCACAACGATCCTTCCAAGGTACGCGAGAGACGGCGGGTGTATATCTACAGCGACACGGATCCGGTCGTGAGTCACTTGGACGTCGAAGCACACGCAGACCAGGCCGAGAAGAACGGCTTCGAGGTGTACAGGGAGCCCTTCGCTGGATCGGGCCATGTCGCCCATGTCAGAGAGGATGAGGCTCGGTACTGGGAGATTGTGAGGAGTATTTGGAGCGGGACCCCAAGAGCTAAGCTATAAATCTCTGTGTGATCATTAACTCATTAAAGCCCAAACAATATCAAAATTTACAAATCCTGGGCGAACATATAATGTTGGTTGAGGCCGGGATAGTACAAGCACGTGTATTTAACATGAAGAACAGATGAGTATAAAGCAAGCCAGACTGAACTGACAAGGAAGAGACCATGGATTGTGCTTTGTGAGAGGCGGTATCGACGTGCTCCAGAGTGGCTTTTCATAAGAGTGCCGCAGTGAGTGGCTAAGTGCAGATATTTTGGGAGATGAACCTAATCCTTCTGGAGCCTGGCATCACATTTCCGGCAGCAAGAAAAAGCTTAACCCTTCGCAAAGGACTTCGTAACAATTCATTTACGCTACACGCTAAACCTCATATCGTATGTTTCAGCTAAGTTGTCTTCCGTGTACGCAGATCAAATAGTCCCTTTAGTCTCCCTCCTCTTTCCATCAAAGTGACATTCAGGTACCCCTACACTCGCCCATGTGATCATGCTAGCATTTCAAGAGCGTGCCAAGTGGCATCCTCATCGTGTGCGGCCCCGCCCAAGTGCAGTGGTGCTTCAGCCCTACGACCAGGGTATGCTTAAGCTAGCAAGATTCTTCTTTTTCCTCATCGGTGTGAATTTCGCCCCTCTCTTTAGTGGTGGCCAGAGGGAGGAGGTCTAGGCGGTGGCCCGTAGCTGTTCTGCCCATAAGGAGGTTGGGGATAAGTAGGCTGAGGGTGCGGGGCCTGGAAGACTTGGGGAGTGGTCGAGGTGGCTGCCATGGTCGTGTCGTCGAGTTTGTGTTCATAGACTTGCTCCTGGTATTGCTGTTCTTTCGTTGCCTTTCTCCTAGCCAATACTCGTGGGAGGACGCATTTCCAAAGAACCCAGCCGAAGAAGAGCACAGCAAGGACGACGACGACAATGGCGATGATGGCTGCCGTAGAGATGGTGCTTTTCTTGGATGAGGAGGAAGACCCGCCACCTCCGCCCCCCGAGCTGCCACCTTTTCCTCCCTTACGAGTGTAGAGTAATACAAGGTTTCCTACATCATCGACCGATGGGAGAAAGGCAGCGTAGACAGCGGGCAACGCCCAGCTCCAAAGTAGGAGAACCTTGTTTTGGAATGCCAGGTTCATTTCCGATTCGGGGTAAGAGGTAAGTATAAATGGGTTCTGCTGCCGTAGAAAATCAACCAAGAACAAAATTGTACGTAACTTAGAAGCAATTCAAGGTCGGTCGGTCAGCCGTGGGTGAAGGTCTCTTATATATTCCCACACTGCTGCTGAAGGACCGACGTTATATATAAAGCCACCGAGTCTTTCAATAATTTCAACACTGCTTTGTTTTTTTTTCCATCAGCCACTACTCAACCACTAAAAGGCTTAGGACTGATCAGACTTGAAAATAGCGCTGAGCTGAGCGCTGACTCCTTGCATTCGACGACCAATGGACGAGATTCATGATAATAGGGCGCATCCGGTGGCGCATTTGTACTATGCTCCCCCTTTCAGCCCATGCAACTAATCGAGCGCTTATGCGAATCCAGGATAGCAGACGGCGACCTGAAAATGGGTAGTTCAGTGTCGAGAATAGAGGTCTAGACTTGGCTCCGTCGGTCTCCCACTTCCCACCGCCTCATGAATATTCATGTTTGGGAAGGATGAGTGCAAGGGCTAGCGAATTCAGCCGTCAGCTATAGCGAATGTGTTGTCATACCAGGCACCTGGCCCAACATCTCCCGCGATGTCGCGACTCTGGTAGCCTGGTGATTGCTTCAGCTCCTGTTCGATCCCTGGAATGCCCTCATTTCTAGCATATTTTCCTTCTCGCTTCACTCTTCCAAATATGCCTGTAGTTGAGATAAGTAGCAGGGCATTTTCTCTCCCCTTTGAGCTAGATCAAGTCAACTGCGGCTGTACCTACAACTACAACTACGGCTACGGCTATATACGGCCCTACGACCAGGTCTACGAGGTCAAGTTAGCTAATTGGATTAGTAGCTGACATTGCGTTGTGTTTGGGTGACGATGTTCTCGTTAAACCCGTGTGCCAAGAAGATCAGACTCTTCTAGCATGTTCTCGCTAGAAGGGTGGTCTAGCAAGGGCATCGTCGCCTATATGAAATCACATATAAAACATTCCGTCACAACATGGAAAATATTCAGAAATTGCATTCTACCTGAAACCGCGTTGCGCAGTAAACAGCGCCGGCCTTGTATGTAGTTCTGGCTCTAAGAAGACAGCTAGGTTAGCTCCTCACCAGTTACCTGTGTCCATTGGTCACGGTAAGCTCATTGTCTTCTGAAAAAAAAAAAACAAAAAAAAAAACTCATCTACTGAGGGAAAGATAAACTACACTCATCTGATATCTTTTCGCTTGTTCGCTTAGCTCGTGTCAAGGTTGTTTCAGCGAGGCATCAAACTCCACGCTATTGTTAGTTACATAAAGCGTGGTATTAGAAGATGCCTTTATGTATTTACCTCTGCCAGGGAATATCATCTTCGGTGCTCCCAGCCCCTTAGTAATACCAGGTAAGAGATAACACATAAAACTAGAGATGTGGATACACAAGATCAGGATTCTCACCAGCCACCTTCAGCTACACCAAGGACGCGCCACACAGTAAACCTGCTTCCATATACGGTTGAAATCGTCCAGTAGGAGTATTCCATGCTCATCGCATCACAGCTTCGTAGCCGCGTATTTAGGGGCGAGGAGCGCTTCATCTTCCTATATCCGCTACGTCTCTGGTTGCGCTGGTAGTTCCCGCGCCTTGGGGAGCCGCCATTCGACCTTGTAGGAGAGGGAGATCTTGGCTTGTTGACCAGTTTACAAGACTTCTCCTTGCAATCGGCGATAAAAACTCCAGCTTTGGCCTTATACTCTCCGGATTTCGTCTTGACAAACGAGGCAGCATCGCCGACCTTTGCCTTCGTCTTCGCAAAGGCTGCCTTCGCGTCTCGGAGCTGGTCGTTTTTGTTAGTGATTGCTGCGGCACCAGTCATGGTACAGCAGAATGCGGCAGTTGCAAGTGTATCAGCGGCAGCAATTTGGCCATGGGTGCTGCAAAGAGCCGCCCCATAGCTGCAAACCGCCACACTCGATGCGTACCTGTATGAATACACAAGGTAGTTAGCGTTATCAGTTCTGTGTACAGGTTGAGACGTGAGTACGCACCAAAAATAGTTTTGCGGATGATCCCATGCTCGAGCAGGCTAGGCAGAGACGAGCTGGGTGGCAATGGATAACAAGCCACAGATGGGGATGATGTTGAAGCGCACGGTGATAGATGGAAAAGGGTTATTTAGAAATAGTTAAGGAATATGAAAGAGATAAATAAAGTGGAATATGCGATGGTTCTTGCTCTATCACCTCTATCGATGTACCCTAGGTACATACAATTATTGTGAAGCCGGCCTACCGCCGTCCCTCTTCAAACTTGGCCTTACCAAGAACCTCAGATCATGGCTGAGAAATACGAAAATAAGTCCCCTTGGCAGAACGACCCGCTCGCAGAATGGACTCATCGGCGGTGTCCACGTACATCGTTTTAAAGCATGCGTTGGCACTTTAAGAGCAGCACGACCTAGAACGCGGTTCCCAACCCCGATTCCTTCTGCTTATATCCCAATTCTTAACGAACATCTGCTTGGGTTCTTTGCATTGGTGGTTCAAACCTATCCAACAATAGAATGGTGATATATCGGCTGATGGTCCTCGGGCATAGCTGTGACTTTTGTGAGAAGGCGGTGCTTGTCTATTCTCATTGTGCACAGTCATAAGCCCGCAATCTAATGTCTGAAATCCTCATCGGATGCCAAACAGAGGAGGGAAGAAGTGAGACGCGAAATTGATGAGCAATCATGAGCAGAGCACAGCTTGCAATAAACAGAATAACCACACAATATAAATCAGAAAATTCAATAATGTGCTGAGCATTGTCAGTTTAGTTTATCATTGATAGCTTACAGTAATTGAAAACATTAATAGCAGTGATAAAGTATATTTAACAGCTCTGTCTACTTCACTATCCCCCGAAGTCTACCTCAAATAGTATCCGTAAACTGCAGATGCCCGAGAACTATTATGCACAAGCAAAACAGTTCCCTCAGACCGAGGCTTTTGACGTAAACTATCATAGTTCTATGACACTCTGAGCTGCGTTGGACAATATTTTGATCGACATGCGACATATGTGGAACACACCAACGGTTTCAGAGACAACGGGGGTGAGAATCCCATGACTGAGTCCTTTTACTTCTGAGGACCATAAACCTGTGAAACAACAATCTTGACCCAAACACAAACGCGAAGTGATAGTCATGTTCAGCCGCCAGGTGCTCCTGATCGGTCTCTTGGCTTGCGCCAGAGCGATAGCTCAAGAGATCACTACCACATCGATTGCGAGTGTCTTTCTGCCAAATGCCGACCAATTCGCGTCTGGTGTCATGGGCTCAATTGTTTCCGCCGACGTTAATAAGACGGCTGTTGTTCTTGGGTGCCCGCCCCATTCAGACACTGACTTTTGCCAATATATGTATAGTGACACTGTCACATATGGTCCTACAACATTCAGCTACGATGCGCCGCTCTCCACAACGTAATGGCCCAGCTCAGGTTCAACACACGTGGCGTCAGGCTTCTCCCATTCCACTTTCAGCGCCCATCCAAGCTAACAATTGCTAGGTCATATAATCGAGCCTGTTCACTTGATCCGGAGGCCGATATTGCCTACTGCACAGAAGAAAGGATCTCCGGATCCCCTGGAGAGGCGCAATCAACACGCTACACAGTGACGACTTCGAACTTTGGCGATCTGCGTACTAACGTCACCGTTACAGCTGGTTTCGAGAAACTCGAGCCATCCCCGACCACTTCCCACCAAACGCCGACAAATCTTAGGACAACAGGTGGAGACGACTAGCTGGATGATGAGCATGCGTGATGCTGAAAGGCCGAATGAGACTTATCGGAGCGACGCTATAAACCTGAAGGATGAGCTATAGATCTCTTAAGTTAGACTTCTAGTCCTTCCAAGTAAGCTCAGAATTCTTGATTTTCACGCCTTGCGGCTTGAAGTTGAGAGTAAGACTTGCATACATGTGCATCTACAAACCACTGCTTTAATCGTGAATTTTTACCTTTCGTATTCATTAGTCATTGTGTTGAGATGTCGGGTCTGGCATATTCTATTGTTGTTTTGCACTTTGTACCCAAAATCCTCTCACCCGCTTCAACCTTGAATAGGGAGAATGGTAACCGGGTGCCGTAGACGGAGTAGCGAGAAAATAAAAATAGCCATAGGTCCTCTTTATAGTGGGGAATCAACTCTCATCAAGAGACCATGATTGAATTTTCACTTTGGCAAAGTGAAGTAAGAGTGAAGTGCCAAGTGAAGTGCCAAGTGAAGTGCCAAGTGAAGTCCTAGGTATATAAACATTCAGTCCATAGCTAGAACCACCTTCTTGAGAATTTATCAATGAAATCGCTAACGTTCCCTTAAAACAACTGTTTATTGCTCGCATGCTAGCGGTGAATTGCAAAGAACTGACAACCCAATCATCCTACTCATAATTATTGACTACAGCATCCCTGACCTACCCTTGACCTCCAGTCCTGTGTAAGTCATCCAACCGTCACACAACATCTTGGCCAGGTACGAGAAACTAAAATTGATTTCCCCTGCTCACTGAAGCTTCGCCCGTGTAGAGGAGCTGGACTTCTTGCGAGGGATGCTAAGCTTGGCCTTAGGCCTTAGCTTGTTACGCAAAGCCTTGAAGTCGTCGAAAGGCCTCCGCCCACGGGTCTTCAGGCGAGGCTCTTCTCCCTCGTTAATCGGGGCTCTCAAGCTACAGATATAGGTGTTGGTAGATTCCCGTCCACAGAGATTTTAATTCAACCGGCGGGACTATAGTTGAGTAAGTGAACCCAAAGCGTTCAATGCAACCGCAACTGAGCCGATAAAGCCAAGGACAAGTAGAAATATATACTGATGCATCTCGACGTGTTGAGATTGATTGAAAGTCGAAAAAGGCGCAGAGATAAAGAAATGATTAGGTCGATTAGGGAATTCCTTAAATAAGGCAATGTCACCGACAGTTAAAAAAAAGGAAAATATAAGAGAGATTATAAAAAGAGGCAACTGACAGTACACAAACCGTTTGGAAGTTATCAAAATCGACATATATAATCTAACCTCCAACTTAAACTGGGGAAGTAGCCGAAAGAAGGGCTTCTGGCCGTAATGCACCGGAGCCAAGGACTCACCACAGGTGCAAATTTTGGCAGTCAGGCTCTCCGCTGAAAGATTGCAAAATTCTGGCCGGGGCCGAAATGGGAGGTTACGGAGAAGGATGACGACTTTCTTTAGTTAAGGAGTTGAGGTGCTCTTGAGCGGAGGAAACTAGTACAGCGATGAATGTCGTGTTTGAAAATAAACTAAATCTACTGAGACATCAGTTACATTATCCTATATAATTGATGCCTGGAATGTCAACGGCTGACTGATGAAGGTGGACTGAACTATACAATGCCCTAACTAACGAGGCGTTGCTCCATAATAAAATATCTGCCTTAATCTTCATGTAGGACAAGCCGCAAGTAGTGGGCCAGTAATAACAAACGTGTTAAAGGGTCTTGGACTTTTGCAGGACTCACTCTTTCGTCGAAATTTCTTATCTTGGAAGCTACCTGCAATGCCACCCCCGTCTCGCCCCTCTATTGTGGCAACAAATCCAGATTGGCAACCGAATCGTGAGTAATAGCCACGGTATCATTGATTCTTTTTGGAAGGTAATAACTGTCGTAGAGAGGCTGTTGGCTGGTATTGAAAATGCAAGAATCTTCTTTACAGAACAGAGACAATCTTTGCAAACTCAGCCCAGCTGCCAGTTTAGATAGGGAGAGTACCAGGAGCTATCTACTTTCGAGCGCTAATCAGATGCCTGGAAGTAGGATAACGATGTCCCAAAGTTGACTCCTTCAAATTATCATCACGGAGGAGTGACCTCACAGTCCGTAGAGCTGGGTGTGGTAGTGGTCCTAGATGCATGCTTTGTCAAGCGCTCGCTCTAATTCTTGGTTGCCGTGCTTAATTGGGACCGAAAGAAATCAAGGGAAATAACGAACACAAAAACCGAAATTGTGTGACCCTTTCTTGGTCGGTAATTCATTCCCGCTTATCCGTTGTGTAAAGCGGGATCATGGAACAAGATTCCTGGCGGGGCGCTCTGTCTGGAGCATCATTAGAAGACAGTATGTTAACCCTCTTAGAGCTTTAGCCTAAAATGCATCTGTTTTGATATGTATCTAAATGCTAGGCTATCAGTAGGTAGTATCTAATAAGCAAATAACAAGTGAACGTCAAGCGTTGATCGATCCATGCCTTAATGCTAACTCGTCCTCGACAGGCTTTAAAATTTAGGGAGTAAATTATCGCATGTGACACCAGCAGCAGCTCTTGATACGGAACATACTCTTAACTCATGTCGGTTAGAACTACGGACGCCTCCACGTAAGCTCCTGAAATTGATTACACCATCTGCCGAGGATTGGGAAACTATAACATAAAGTAGCATGTGTCAAAATGCTGCGGTGCCATTGAGCGAGCAAGGGCCTTGATTGTGCAATTGGAACTCTGGCATGCCTTTGTAGAACTATTAGTAGTGAATTCGGGCTTCATGTTCCATGTGATAGCTAAATGAGCACTTACAAGGCATCGTGCGGAAGCCTCCTCCCAGGGGCCCTGGTCTATAATGCTGGTAGGGCAGCGTTGCACTCCCAGCTTGTTGATGATCGACACTCACTGCTTGGAGTGGACGAAGATGGGAAAAAAAGGTCTTGTCCCGAAATGGACGACGACGCGTCATCCTCCATGGCCCTACCATCACGCTCTGCATTCCCAAAGGACAGAGAACAATAGTTCCAAGAGAGGGGAAGCTGGTGATACGTCTCAAAGGCAGTGGAGCGAAAAATGAGTGTTGCATCGGCCCAACCTCAATGATTTCGCAAAGAGCTTTCGTCAAGTAGCGGTGGCATCATGATTCTCAGGGGTCTAACTACTTTCCCGTCCACACAAGCTTTGCAAAGCATGAAATCAAGCTTTCTCCACAACTCGGAATGGGACATCGCTCACTTGGCAGAGCGGGGCAGTCCACGGAGCTTTTCGAAGAGAGCGGCTTCTACCTTTGGTTTAGTTACAATGAAGTATGAAAAGTAGAAGATCTTTCCAAGTGTTGATTTCGTCATGGATTCAGTCCAGGGTCTCGTAAGTAACCCATCAAGAGTGGGAACAAGAAGCCCAGCTTCATCGTGCTTTCCAATTTGCCATGGCCATTGGGTATTCGAAGAAGGCCTGCGGTTAGGCTCAGGCCTAAGGCCCAAGCGAGGCTCATTGGGTTTTGGAGCCTGTACCTCTTTTTATCATCCGGTCACAACCTGTTTATGGAAGAGTCTGTTCCTCATCGGAGATTGAATTTTTAACCATCTAAGCAAGGTTATCTCCATTTGGCCCGGAACTTCATAACGTCGGCACTGGTGCTACGATGGCGCTTCGCGAGACAGGGAACTTGCATCCATTTGAAATTGCTCACACCTGGTTTGCTGCACTGCCGGAGGAGGCCATTTTAGGAAGCTCACGATTGTGGCCGTCGCAAAAGTGACATACTGCTTTAGGACAGCTCTCCAGTCCGAGTACTGTCCGACTAAGAAAATATGTCCGGACGGAAACTAACATTGTTTCGCCAACGTCGCATTGTCGATATGCATCTTCCGAAGTTCATACCATCTAAGATGGATCAACTTCCCACCAATGGCGAATCTGATTTAGAATTTGGATGCATGGGATTCGTCATCTTCCAAGAAAGGGAAATACAACTCAGAGATGATACCTTCTTCTTGTACGACAAGGGAGGAACCTCTCTCCTGCCTTGCGAGGAAGGGATAAACAAGAAGAGGGTGTCAAAGGGATGAATGGTGACGACAACTTAGTTGATAGCAAGAATGAAAAAGTATAAAGTGATGGAATGCTTCCTGTCCGAGTCTCGAAAGAACAGCACCATCCCAAAACTTCTCATCAGTCCTGACCCTTTCCATTATCGAACTTTACCGCCAACATGCGATTCAAAGTTGCAAGCACTGTCCTTCTTGCAGGCTTCGCCCTGGGCCATCCTGGTCATGACCCGGAAATGGAGGCCCTCGAACGTCGCCAAGCGCTTCAGACCATGAAGCGCGCCTCGCTCTCCCACTGCCGTCGTCACTTTGAAGAGAGTGGCCTCGCAGCTCGGAACCATGAGCGGCGTGCGGCTAAGCTCGAGAAGCTTCGGTGGAAGCGTGGCTTGACCAAGCGTAGCTGGGAAGATGTCCTTGCAAAGTCTCACGACAAGTCGGAGTTGGGATACACCCCTGATACCCCCGCAGACACTCTATTCTCCGGAATCAATGCGTGCATTCTTACTCCAGAAACTACCGAGGGTCCTTACTGTATGTTGTTTGTTCTTCTCTTCTGTTCCTCTCTCTGTCTCAAAAGCTCGTTCTGACATTGCATACCAGACGTTTCCGGAGAAGACGTGAGATCTGACATTCGCGAAACCGAGAGGGGCGTTGAGCTCCTCCTGGACTATCAGGTCATTGACGTTTCGACCTGCGAGCCAGTCCCAGAGGTATATCTCGAGGCTTGGCATTGCAACACCACTGGCGTGTATTCAGGTGTCAACGCTGGTGGGAACGGCGGTGGTAGCGGCAACATTGAGACAACTCACCACCGTGGTATCCAATTCACAGATTCCGACGGTGTCGCTGAGTTCACAACTAACTTCCCTGGCCACTACACTGGCCGCGCTACGCACATTCACATCATGATTCATGCCAACGCTACTCTCCTTGCCAATGGGACTCTGGGCCACAACTTGGCCTCTAGTCATGTTGGCCAGTCATTCTTTGACCAGGACCTCATTGATAGGGTTGAAGAACTTGCCCCCTACAATACGAACACACAGCAGCTTCTTACCAATGACCAAGACGGCATTTTCAAACAGGAGGTCGGTAATGGTGCCGAGGATGTTGACCCAATCGCAGAGTACACTTATCTTGGTGATGATCTTTCCGATGGTCTCTTCGCCTGGCTTGCTTTTGGCATCGACACCACCTATCAACGCACTGTGAGCCCGGCCGTCTATCGTTATGAAGATGGCTTTGTGGAGAACCCAGGCAGCGGTGGTCCAGGTGGCCCAGGTGGAGGTGGACCACCTACAGAATGAGCTGTGAACAGGGGCAATGTTTAAGTAGAGGTGAATCGTCAAGTTAGCTATTTACTCCAGGGCCTAAGGAAGTACCCATCAGTGCTCTTGACGTCCTTCGGCTGAAATGTTTCTAAGTTCAATAACCTCAGTGTTAGTTATTAGGATGAGTCTCCAATGATTCGTTTTTGGTGGATTTCTATGACAGAGCTGAACTATATCACTGCAACTTTGGTAATGATTCAAAGAAAATCGAACCCTCACAATGACACAAGTAACAGGGGGAACATCCAAAGAAACCTTATAAGCCCGTAGCTTCGATATAGAGAGAATGACACCATATCTATTCAATGGAAACGGCCACTATTTGTTTGCCTAACCAAGCTAGTTGTGATCTTTTGCCATGTCTTGTTTCCATTGCTCCTTGATTTGGTCTACCAGCCCAGGTGTAGCACATACATCCACTGCCGTGCCTGCCATGGCCTTGGCCACCCTCATCGCTCTTTCGAACGCTCCTCTCATGCCCGATGCCTTTTCAAAGTCAGGACTGTGCGGCTGTCCACCATTAGGGCCAGCAGGGATGGCGAAACTGACATTCATGCTTGGCAAAGCATAACTCAGATTGCCTTGGTCAGTACTGGCCTTCACCCATGTTAATTGACCTGGTGGAGGTAATGGCGGCTCGGGAGAATCGGGTAAAGCTTGCCAATACTTTCGCCACGAATCTGCGAGTACGCGATTTGGGACATGGTCATGGTAGCCTAGGGTAACTTCGATAGATACTTGAGCACCTGTGGCCTGGGCGCCAGCTAGAAAACATGCCTCAACCTTCTGCTGCAGTTCATGTAGCCTAGACAAGCTACTTGCTCGAAGAACAGCCACACCTGCGGCATGCTCATGTATCACATTTGGCTTGTTACCACCGTCTGTAATCTGGAGACCCACAATGTCATCTGGCCGCAACTGCTGGCGCAGGACCGAGATGCTGTTGTACGCCACGATGAGAGCATCCAGAGCGTTAACCCCGAGCCAAGGGCTGTTGGCTGCATGTGCTGCACGACCACGGTAGGAAACACTGAGGCGCGTGTAAGCCGTCGTGCGGACCATGGGACTGTTATTGAGAATTCCGGGATGGGAGATGATTGAGACATCCACATTATCATAGGCACCTGCATCGAGTAGTTTGATTTTTCCGCCGCCGCCGCCTTCTTCTGCCGGTGTCCCAAATAATATAACTTTACCACCAATGTGATGAGTCCGCATCATCTCCGCTGTTGCTAGAGCCGCGGCTACCGACGTGACGGCGATGAGGTTGTGGCCACACGCATGTCCTAGCCCAGGCAGGGCGTCTAATCGTATCCAGTTCAATCAGTGTTAAGATCTTGCCACGGCACTTGAGTGGTTGTAACGTACCCATCTCCACGTTGAATGACACCGCTGGACCTGGCATTTTGCTGTCATAAACACTCATCCACGCTGTGTCCATTCCATGCAGAGATTGCATGACCTTCCAGCCATTCTGGCTGCGCATGAAGCTGGTCAATGCATCATGAGCTTTATGTTCCTCAAAACCCAGCTCGGGATTTTGGTGGAGGAAAACATTCAGGGTCCAAACAGAAGCTTGTATGCTCTCGACGAAGTGGTCAATATCAGACAAGCAAAAGGGCTCTTGGTCATGTCTAGCAACATCTAGCCTCTTGATCGATTTGGGAATCAGAATGTATCCATCCTCTTCCATTATGACGAAATGTCGGCCCTTGTGACTGAAGCGCGGGGGCATGTGGGGGACGAGAAAACCTCGAGTAGGCCTCCAGAGATATCGGCAAGCAAATGACGATACGACCCATATTCGGCGTTTCATGCGGGCTATTTCTCTTGGCAGAGGCTGAGTAAGTTCTTAGATACGAGCCAACTGTACATCCGAATCCTCGCAGAGATATAATACCTCCAATCATGCTTCGTGCTTATGTGGCAACACCTTTACCCCCGGAGACTTCCCATTGCGCACCCTCCCGTGTTTCTTTTTGCCATGTCACGATTTTAATGTCTTTTCAATCCCCTGAAGCCATCTGCTAAAGAGACCCAACCACCTGTCAAAGAGACCCAACCATGACAGCCAAAAAGCACCACGTGGTGACAAATCTACAGTACTGGGACGATCCAGGCGATGGCTCTAAGCCGACTCCCATCTACATCGGTGACGGGAGGATAAGTAACAAGCGCCCCCACAAGTCCCACGAATTCACCATTCATGACCTCGGAGGCGACGAAGACCATTATCAGCTCGACAGCCACGGTTTCCAATATTGCAGTCACAAAAGTCAAGAAGAGCTCTTCGTCGATGATGACAAAATACAATCAGTGTATGTGCCCGAGTGCCAAGCTCTCATCAAGCACGTCACGGGGGCGCTGGATGTCCACGTCTTCAACTACAAAGTGCGACGTGGACCGACGCAATGGCATCATCTCGGCCTGCACAATCTTATAAACAGAGGGCCCGTGACGCGAACGCACGTAGATCAGTCATATGAGGGGGCGGAGAGGCGGCTGCGGTGGGAGTTCCCCCACGACGCGAATGAATTGGTGAAGAAACGGTACCAGATCATCAACGTCTGGAGGCCTATCAAGCCCATACTCAAAGACCCCATTGCTGTAGCCGACTCAAACTCTGTGCCAGACTCTGACTTGGTGGGAGCTGAGATGACTGAGGATGGGTTTGTGGGCGAGTCGTGGGTTGTTCGCCACAATCCCAATCACCGATGGTATTTCAAGTCTGGGATGACACCCCAAGATGTGCTGCTCATCAAGTGCTTTGACTCGAACAAGAAGGTGGCTCGCCGAGCGTTGCACTCAGCGTTTGAAGACCCCGCGTTTCGCGATTGCGAGTCCCGGCAGAGCATTGAAGTGAGGTGTCTGGTGTTGTATTAGTCGTCTCGGGTAGAATACAACAAGTCATACTGCGCAATAAAAATCCAGCAGCGGGGTAATGTTATCCTGGTCTTTGGGAACACTGCCACATTGCGAAGAGGCCACATGCCTTCAATTGTTTCCTCGTTTCCTCTCAAAGCAACACATCATGCCGAATAGAGAAGTGGAGTTGGTTACATTGCATGAATGAGCATGAATGCGTTAGCAAGCTGCCCCTCTCGTATCTCTTGGCGTGCGGTCGGCATGCCTCCCCGTCCTGAATTGAGATAGTATCATGTTAGGCACAACAGTACTTGTTTCAGGAAGCTCGATACTCTGAGCTCACGCGCTATACGGCCGCCAACTAGGTAGCACAAAGTCAATGAAAATCTTATCTGCTAAAGCAAGCCTTGGCGCTGTCACATACGACATTGGTGATACGATGGATACCAAGTGAAAATCTATAAAAGCCTCATTGAACTCTGGTAGTCAGTCTACTGTCCCGGGCGTTGAGAACCATCATCAGCACTAAGTATACCATACCCAATACAATCCATTCACACATCCTGTCGCTTCTTACCATGGCTCCTGTATCCGAAACCCCTCAAACCGTTGACTGGATGGGTAAAACTGTTCCTGTTTGGTCAATGAAAACCCTTGATTATGGTCTCTTGCTCTCTCATGAGCCCTCTGAGATCGACAAACTCGTTAATGCCTGTATCGATGAGGGTTATTTTTACCTCGATCTCCGCGGTATCGATGGCCGCCGCATGCTTTCTGACCACCAAGACACTCTCAAGTTGATGAAGAGATTCTTCGATAAGCCATTAGAAGTCAAGAACGAATTTGGCCTAATCTCGTCCCACTTAGGATACGAGCCTGTCGGGAGCCGAACGGGCGTGGCAGCTGGCACCAAGGATGGATATGAAATGCTCAAGGTGTCGCGAGATGAGATCCAGCGAGACAGCCCTAAGATTCCCGCTATTGCCAAGGAGAGTGGGGAGCTTCAAATCCTCGAGAATGCAATCGGCAGCTGCAACACAATCACAAAGGTTCTTCTCTCTGCGCTGTCCGACGGCCTTCATCTGAGTGGAGGCGGAAGATTTGAAAATCAACATAAGAACGAACGTCCCTCAACTACGACGGTAGGCCTTCTTCTTCCCTTCTCTCTCTATCTTTCCCAATTTAAAATCCCTGACGTTATCTCTTGTGTGGCTTATCATCAAACGGCAAGCTAACTCCGGTCATCTGCTAGCTATCGATGATGCACTACTTGCCTTCAGAGCTGTCTGGTCCAAACAACATCGGCCACCAGAAGCATACCGATATCAGCACCTTGACACTTTTATTTAGCGAGCAATGGGGCCTCCAAGTCCGCCCACCCGGCGAGTGCGGTGCACTTGAAATGGGATTCGTTGCCCCCAAGCCAGGATGTGCCTTTGTCCACGTAGGCGACTCCCTCCGCTTTGCCAGTGGCATGAAGTTCCAAAGTTGCATCCATCGCGTTGTTCCGTTTGATCCGACCGAACACCGCTACTCAGTCGCATACTTTTTGCGAGCCGAGGATGACACCATGTTTGTTGACTCGGAAGGCCGTGCTATCACTGCTGGTCAATGGCATGACGAGAAGTTCAAGGCGTTTACAGACCCTGAGCTATGGCAGGCTATGGCGCCGAAATCAATGATCTTAGGTGGTATGAAGGAGGACGGTGAAGATGAGAACGTTGCACCGTTGTTTAAACAGGCTCTTGTACCAGAGCCTGTGCTGAGCAACGCTTGATTATTGTACATATACCTAGAGACGCGCACGAAACTTTTACAGAGGTTTCGTAAAGTCATATTCCGTCTTCCTGCTACGTTTATGTGGCGACGCCGGTGTATTGATTGCCCATAGGTTCCTCAAGTGCTATTCAATCGCGCCTCTCACATGGAGGAAGTAAGCGGTCCCAGCACACATGCTTCCTCGGCTATTTCTTACTCGCACAGGAGCAAAATGAGATATTTGTGCGGGGAAATAGTTAGCGCCCGCCCGAACAGACTGAACGTAGCCATCATCCCATTTTTCAGCTATTGTTATTACCGTCTCCTCTTTGCTAGTTTTTTTTTTTTTTTCATAAAAAGCAGCAATGAGTAATACCGAGTTACAAACCATCACCATTGCCGAATCGGCGCGAGCCCCAAGCTTACGAAACCATGCTCAATCTTCGCCGGTTCATCGAGCTATGGAGGATGAGGGTCCAGGTGACGGAAGAGCAGAACAGGAACTGGCGCCTGTAGATGGAGGAGGTGCTGCCTGGAGACTACTCTGTGCTGCTTTTGTATTTGAGACGTTGCTCTGGGGTAATTGCGAATCAATGCATGCCTGGTTTCCGCAGAGAATGCTAATATGCCCCAAATAGGCTTCCCACTTTCGTTCGGTGTCTTTCAAGAATACTATAGTAGAGTGCCAGAATTTGCCAATAATAGGTACATTTCCGTGGTGGGCACAATAGCATCCGGCTTTGGTTATCTCGGTGCACCAGTCGTGATGCCTTTCATTCAGCGGTATCCGTGGTGGCAGCGACAGATGATTTGGGTTGGCTGTACGTGCTGTCTCATTGATTGCCGTCATTCGATAGTCTGGCTTGCTAATTTGTGTCATAGGGCCAATCTGCATTCTGGGACTGGTCCTAGGATCTTTTGCTTCTACTTTAGAGGTCCTTATCCTCACGCAAGGTGTGGCTTACGGCCTCGGCTTTCTGATATTCTACTATCCCATTCTCAGCATGGTTAACGAGTATTGGATCGCACGCCGCGGCATGGCTTACGGTATCCTTTGTGGTGCATCCGGGGTCTCAGGTTCCATTATGCCGTTCGTGCTACAAGCACTGTTAGCCAACTACGGATATCGAACGACACTTCGCATTGTGGCCGTGGCACTCACGCTTCTTACTGGACCCTTGATCCCTTTCCTGAAGGGCCGTCTGCCTCCCTCAGAGCGCGCTACAATTCCTAGAATGAATTGGACCTTCTTTCGGAGCCCTTTATTTTGGGTGTACTCGTTGTCGAACCTGCTGCAAGGATTTGGTTACTTTTTCCCATCTTTATATCTTCCCTCCCATGCCGCCTCCCTCCAGCTCGGCGAAAGAAGCGGTCCTCTCCTTCTCGCACTCATGAGTGTTTCTCAAGTTGGTGGCCAGTTTATTTTCGGCTTTTTATCTGACCGCAAGGTACCAATCAATGTCCTAGCCTGTTTGTCGACCGCAGTTGCAGCAGTTGCTTCCCTCACTCTGTGGAAACTGGCCACTTCGCTACCGCCTTTAATTGTTTTCACTCTGCTATATGGATTTTTTGGTGCTGGGTTCACGGCCACCAGGGCTCGCATGAGTACTGCTATTACTGATGATGCAACTTCTATGCCAATCGTCTTCAGTCTCTTGAACTTTGGCAAAGGTGTCGGGAATGTACTTGCTGGGCCTATTGGAGGTCTTCTTATGTCGGCCTCGAAGCCCACTGCTGAAGCAGTTCCATTTCCACTTCACTGGATCATCATTTTTACTGGCGTTTGTATGTTCGCCAGCGCTGCTGTCATCGTTCTGCAGTATATTAAGAGATAACAGGCTATTCACAACTAACTATAGAGGGTAAAGGCAAGCCATTTACTAGCATGTATACATTTTTAAAAGCCACTACTCGCGTGTTATAATCTTAACTACCGATTGTACAACTACATTTCATAATCATCATTGTTCGTCTAAAAGCCGCAATCCTATTTTCCCTTTTTCTTTAGAGGTGCTGCTTCCTGATATATGTAGTTTTTTGTCTCATCGTTGACTGCTGGCTTTGCCTCAACTCCCTTTCTTTACGGATTGGATCCGTTTTTCTATTTTGCCTCTTTGTCATCAATCCTTTAAAGTCATTTATTAGCCGTCTAGGTGGTCTATCGAGCCTGGTGTCTACACCAACCATGATTTACCTTGTAGCTGGTTGCCAGAATGAGCGCTCCCATCTGAGGCTTAATTTTGCTCTCACGGTCACCATATCAGTGAGCACCAATAGTTTCTTCATTTCCTTGGCGTGCAAAGCTTGGACTTTATCGTAAGCTTATGTTGGTTGCGTTGAATCCTCATCTCACCAGCTTTAGGCTTAGCGTGACATGCTGTGCAAGCTGGTGCAGGGCTTTCCTCTCTTGACACATTCATCGCCCACCTCGTTCATCAACAACTCAAGACGCACTGCCATGGATCCATCATCCCCCCTTTCACCGCTTCTATCTCTACCTTATGGCATCCGAAAACGAATTTTCGTTTTCGCCGGCCTGGTTCGAGAATGCCCTATCACCATCACTCCAGTCTCCCGACCAACACTGTACTTCGGTACCCAGCAGCTTAGCCCTAGCCTCGGCTTTTTCGGGTGCGCATACCCATATCGCAAGCAGAGAAAGCCAGACAGGGTTTCGCATGGTTATAATCCGGAGTGCGACTGCCCGGATCTTCCCAAGCAGCTGCTGTGCGTCTGCAGGTCACTCCATAAGGAGGCGGTAGAGCTGCTCTATAGCGAAAACAAATTCGTGGTTCGCGCGCATCACCATGTCGAGGATCTAGACATTCTCAAGACACTTCCGGTTTATGGAATCCGGGCACTGCGTTACCTCTTGGTTCGCCTGAATAGTTGGCCGTGTGCTCGTGGCCACAGTCTCAGCAACCCAAAGTATGACGCCTGCATCATCTGCCCGCATGAGGCGCCGCAAAGCCGAATATCGGCGAGTGACCCAGAGCTTTCCACCGGCAACAATCTCTCAGAGAGCATCATCAAGTGCTGGACGGAGATATGTCAACGCCTTTCTGGTATCGTTATCGCTGGGACTCTGCACCTAGAGTTCATTTGCGATGCTCAAGACCTAGAGACTGCCCATCGTGTCATAGAGCCTATGAGCTCCCTTCCGCGCCTCAGAGAATGTATTATGAGGCTTGGAAGGAAGAAGGACTACTCCCTGCGTTCTCTTGCTGAGTCAACTGCCCATCAACTGACCAGAGGCGTTGAGAAAAAGAAGAGGCCTCCTTCTATGTCTTTCTCCTTTTTACCCCGGGAGATTCGTCTACAGATCCTCTGGTTCACGAATCTTGGGCCTGGAGGTACATTTCTGAAGGGCACTCACCATGAGCTGGAGATAATACACGTTGATCGCGGAAGGTTTGCCCATGAAATTGGTTACCGGCGTGGATTCCGAACCTGTTGTCTTGACTGCTCCTTCACCAAGCTGCACTGCTCTTGCCCGTTAAACTATGCGTCTTATAGCGCTTCTTGTTGCTGTCGGGTGCTCCCCTTGGAGCTCTCTCTTGTTAGCCAGCAAATGCACGTCGACGCCGTCGAGGTTTTTTTCTCGACAAACCCATTTGAATTCCGGGGACCTTTTTCTGATACGCAAAAAATGCTGGAGACTCTTTCGCCCAGATCTTTGAAACAGCTTCGGCACCTCGTATTTGACATGGGCTTTTCAAACCCATATTTCCGGGATCAGGACCAACTCCAGTGGCATTCCCTACTCTCTTTCATGAACAAGCACTGCAATATATCCCAGCTATGCATTGCAATCGATTTCTCATTGTCAATGGATATTGACGCTGTTTTCGAATCTGAGGATGAAGCGAAAACTATCGAGATGATATATCATGGATATGTAGCTCTAGTACGGGCAGTGAAGACTGAGCTATCCAGCCTTGCAGATTTTCACATTGATCTCGGCATTTCATGGGAACTGGAACCGGTCCTAGAGAAATACATTATGGGCCCGGAGTATGACAGCGAGAACGGGAATAGATATTCTAAGACGGTTTCCGAAATTGCGGGAGACGAAATTTACCGCCAAATACCTCCATGCCACAAGGATCTCTGAGGGTCTTTGACAGATGTATTTACAGGCCCAGGTAGCATGAATCATTAGGAAATATTACAGCCCTCCACTTAATAGCCTGAATCAAAAGTTGACATATTTACTACCATTTCAACCTCCGTTCGCATCTTTGGGGATTGTATTCGTTTTTTTTCTGGAACACTAATTTATCAGTGGCCATTCTTTACAATTCGAGAAAACTAGCTCTATATAAATCAATAAGTTTTGTTTATCGCACAAACCACGACACTGGTTGCTTGAGACCAAATTCGACTCAAATACCACACTTAGCCTGCCAGTAGGTTCTACGAAACCATCACATCGACCAAGAACTCCTCTGATCAGCAATACTGACTGGGGACCAATTCTGCTAAATGTCCTTCTATCAACCGGAAGAGCTACTCGACGAAGGAGTGCCAGTCGATGAAGGAATTCCTGGCGGGGTGCCGCTTTGACCAGGGCCCTCGCCCTCACCGCCGCCCGGCGGGCCGGAGTTGGGGTTTTCGACTCCTCCCTCCTGGTAGCGGAAAGTAGCTGGTTTAATTGCTTGATACTGCGTGGTGTCTATCCCAAACGCAATCCAGGCGAAGAGGCCTTCACCAACAGAGTCACCTAGAAGAGTGTACTCGAAGACAGGATCCACGCCATCAGTTCGCGTCTCCTCAGACAAAATGCTATCGTTCTCATTTAGAGTGAGTTCTTGCTGGTTGGTGTTGTATGGGGCCAGAGCCTCGACCTCGTCAATCAAGTTCTGATCAAAGAAGGTTTGGCCCACGTGGCTGGCGTAGATGTCGTTACCAAGAGTGTCATTAGCGAGAACCGTGACATTTGTGTGAATTAGGACGTGGATATGTGTAGCACGGCTGGTATAATGACCAGGAAAGATTGACGTAAATCCAGCCACGCCATCATCGGAAGTCTCCTGAATGCCACGAAGGAAGGTCTTGTCAATATTGGACAGATCACTGCTGTCTCCGTTGCCATCGGCATTAACGCCAGAGTAAATGCCAGTTGAATTACAATGCCACATCTCCAAATAGGCCGATGGCACAGGCTCACAGGTATCAACATCAATGACTTGATAGTCGAGAAGAATGTCCACACCCTGTTGAGTCTCGACAATATTGTCGCGGATATCCTCACCGCCAACATCTGTTTACAGCTGTTAGAAATCGTTTGGGTGAGAAGGAATGCTTAGACCTACAGTATGGGCCTTGTGTAACCTCCGGGGTGAGAACACAAGAGTTGATACCAGAAAAAAGAGTCTCTGGGTCTGTTCCAGGAGTGTAGCCAAGCTCAGTCTTATTATGCGATTTCTCCAAGACATCCTCAATGGCTCGCTTCTTAAGAGCTCGCTTCTTTCGCTCGTTCTGAACAAGAGCAGCACGGCGTGCATGATTGCGAGCCGCCAAGCCGCTTTCCTCCCAGTGGCGAGCGCAGTGCTTAAGAGATCTTCTCTCTATAGGCACTGAATTGATGTAGTCACGTCGCTCAAGAGCCTCTTTTGTAGGGTCCTGGCCAGGGTGAGCCAGCACGCTGCCAGTCAGAACGACAGCGCCAAAGGATAGAAGGCGCATGATGGTCGATTTTCAACTTTACAGTTGGGAGGATATGAGAAGGAAGGGTTTGTGTGAGCAGCTTGTTTCTTGCCAAACCATTCTGAGCATTGGGTTCCAGATCGATGTTATATAGATTCTGGTCGTCTCCAATTTTCTTCATTGCTTGCCTGCATACCTATATCAGACAAATTTAACAAGAAGTCGTCGTCATTCGTATACCGACTTTCCACCATAATGCTGCATCTTCCAGCACAGGCCTACCAAGGTCATTACCACATGTGTAGGAGTTCGCCGCCTACTTGTCGCAGCTCCGGCGTGGACACTTTCCACATGCCATGCTCAAGAAACTGACTGTGGTGCGATATTCGTTTCATTTCGCATGAACATGCTCCGGCAGGACCGGGCAGGTTGCCTTCCAAGCGGACCCTTTTCCAATTGAGCAATCAGAAGCAAAGAATTTCTCATCTGCAGGGTCTCGACTTGCGCGTTGCGCAGGGATGCAAATGCTTAGCTTGTGGAGAGTCGAGCTGGCATGCGGCTCTCCATTTGTTCTTTAATGCGCTTATTTACCTAAGTCCTGAGATTATTACTCGCTAATAGGTTGAAGCTATGATTAAAGGCCAAGGAAAATGACGACCCAACAATGGATATGAAACGCGGCTGAAATCAAAAAGCGATTCGTCTTGAATTGAACTTCACACTGGAGCTACCACCCCTTTTGCTACAAAGCAATATATAGTTGCGTAATAACCACAGACCTACATTGAAGTGGGCGGAAGTTACATATTCAAACACTCTTCCTGTACGGTTAAAGCATTTAGATCACCTAGGTAGGTACTTCGGAGGGTGCTTGTTGATAATTGTAGGCAGTTGACGCGCAAACACATACGAACCCAGCTATCTAGCCAGGATATTAAAGCTTGATTTCTTCAAGGGTCCCTGTTCTGATAGGTGGACGATTCTGTTCTCCACGACCTGCCACCGCTTTACCATTAATAACCTTGTTATTACGCTGGGAGGTTTAGTTTGCATGGGTCAAGCGGGATGGAAAAAAACTTCGGTCATGAAAAGAAAGTACAAATATCCAGCAGCTATCGTTGCAACTCGTCGTTTTTCATCTACTTAGCATCGTGTAGTTACAGCCGGTGAGGGCCCTTGCAGGAGGATGAAGGCCCCTTTTGTTGTTAAACCCCATGGCCAACAATAGTTCCGTAGGCAATTCCAAACGCCGCGTCAGCGATTGCTTCATTTGGCCGACAGATGTTCCCCACCCGACACGGGTAGGGAAACTCACTGCCGATCTCCAGCTGCTCCGAGACAGTCACTCCTTGGTATTAATGATTTCCGCCCATTATTTGAATCAAAGGGCGTGAGTTTTGAGGTAAGTCTTTTATGACTGCAAAATATTTTCCAGTTCAGGTTGAAATATCTTCTTAATAGCAAGAAGTGCCGCGTCAACGTGAAAGAGACGTCAGATGTGAAAATTTGAATCAAGCAACCATAGACCACAGATTTGGAGGCAAACCCCGACCAACACCATCTTACCGACCAACACCATCTTACCGACCAACACCATCTACATGAGCCTCTCGAAGATATTCCAGCACGTCATTTACCTCTGAATTTCAGAGATCGAGGCCGTCATGACGGCACCATGGGGCTATCGAATCATTCTGGGAGTGGCTTTCATAGGAATCACAAGACTCCTTTATTGAAATCAGGATCATTATTGCCCCGAATTTGATATCAGAGGGCGGAAGGTGACGCATCAGACCGATAACAACAAAGGCCATGTTCCACGGCTAAAAGAAATAATATATGGATTAGACAGTCAATATTGGCTAAGCTCAGTGATCCCTCATCTATCCCAAAAAAGCCCTGAATGTCCCCAAATTTTAAGGCTGTATAGCAAAATAATACCTAGCACGGTATAACCCAAGTTAATGGACCTTCATTTCATTAATTTTGTTTCCCCTCATCAGACTGCCTGGTGAACACCGTATGTTTCGTGGATCCAGCGATGATAATCATGCGCCTAATCATCCAGCACTCATAAGAGCCGAAATCAAAGGCTGACGAGTTTACTTTCAAACGTTATATCATATTCACACGTGAGCATTGGGGAAAAAAAGTCCAAAAAAAGCAACAGCTGGTGGGCGAACAAGACCAAGAGCCATCGCGCATGAAGAGCAAAGGGGGAAGTTTCCTTGTACAAATCTCTTATTTCTATAACAATGCCAGTAATTTTAGGGTACTAGTTTTTCTAACAACCGAAAATTGAAAGCAGGAAAAACAATAGAGAAAGGGCGGGGGACAAGGGAAGGGGGGGAATCCACGAAATAATTACGACGTGTATGGCTTGTTTCTCGGTCGAGATGGACACGATAGCATTGAAAAGGTGCTCATGTCTAATGAAGTACCACCTTCTCCTTTAGCCAGGTGTGACGGAGCCTAGAGATAACGAATCGAAGATGCATCTCTAGAATATTACATTACAAGGGTGTTCAGCAAATTAACCCCTCCAATCCTCGGGCGGCGGACCCCAAATCTACGGATCTACGCGTCCTAATTCTGTCCGGAGTTGCGCGGACTCGCAAATTTGGACCTGAACCAGGGCCTCGCAGTCGGGATGTGGCAGTTGAATCGTTTAGCGTCTGCTAATGCTGAGAGAACGCCTTACACTTGTCGTCATTACGGGGATTGTGTTTACCCACAACTCGCATTAGAAAGCGCTTGACGCCGATTCGTCAAAAGAACCATGTACGGAGCCCCTTAGTTGAGGAAAACTGAGTCGTACTCCCTGTTTCCCCACCCAAGCCACGATTTGTGTAGCAATTGCAGACGCAGAAACGCGTCAGCATCACAGATTGAATGAAACTTTCCAGTTTCAGAATTACGACGACTTTCCTGCTTGGAAAGAAGCTCCGCGCATTCTATACCATGCAGGCATATAAAGAGGGCAGCTCGGAGGGCCACTCCATGCGGAACCAACTGTTTCCTGTTGACATCAATTGGAGACCATCTCGCGCCGAGCCAGGACCTAGAACTTGAGTTTTATCGTCTCTTCACTATTTTGTCCGGAAAATGTACAAGCGTCGGCACCAACAACAGGAGGCTTTTCAGCCAAAACCAGATGCTGAGAAATCTCACCAATCACATCAACACAAGAGCGATCATGGACCTACAGATCTCAGCGCCTGGATCGTTCAGGTTGGAATAGCTGTCAACCTCGGACTTGCCGTCATCAAATTGGTTGGAGGATGGGCGTTTAGTTCAAAGTCTCTTACCGCCGATGGTTGGCATAGCATGACGGATCTTGTCACGGACCTCCTCGCTCTGATTTCAGTCCTCGTCATTGCTATGCCAAAACTGACTGAGTTTCTCCGACCGACCATCTCCAACATTGAAGGGTCAATCTCTCTGGCCATCTCTGGACTCCTGGTGCTCATGGGGATTCATGAAGGATGGGAGAGTTTGGTGTCCTTCCACGAAAGCTTCTTTGGCCAAGCACTGCTTTTCGGTGAGAGTGGGCTAGGGTATGATTCCCATGGCGACATTCATCATGATGTGCCCAGCTTACAAGCGGCCTGGATTGCTGGTCTGACAATTCTCGCCAAAGAGTGGCTCTATCACAAGAGTAAGTACCTCTACGAAAGTGAAATTGATCCCATTATTGAACAGAAACACTAATTCCTTTTTTGCAGCAATGAAAATTGCTGCCGAAACCAAGTCTTCGGTTCTAGCATCAAATGCCGTCCATCAACGGGCAGATAGTTTGATGAGCATGGTGACAATCGTCGCCATATTAGGAAGCAACATCTTCAAAGATACCGCTTGGATCGATTCAGTGGGTGGCCTCTGTATCTGTGCAATTGTCATTCGCGCTGCTCTAGAGAACTTGACAAAGACAATCAAGACGTGGAAATCGGCCGACTAGATTGGTTCAATATCACACATGTTTTTCTCTCTCAAAAGTACAGCGCTGCCCTTAGGATGTGGGTTTCAACTAAATATAAATAAAAAGAATACTATTATATTTGTGAAGGTAGATTGTTCTCCACGAGCTATATCCAACTTTTATGAAATAAAATAAAAACATGCCATTTTTGTCCCTGTTTATCGCTAAGAACCAGCGATTCATGTCACATAATGGGGCAAATCTAGCCTTCCTATACAATCTTTAGCAATTGCACCTCAGCTTCTAGGGATGATACCATCTCACAAGGAAAATAATAGACTTACCGTTAGATTCACTGTATTTATGGATTATATCGAGATAATCAGCGATAGAAGTGAGATACTTGAGGTTTTGTCGAGCAGGCCAAATAATTGAAGGTCTCTAGGGTAGGGTGTTGGTGAGTGGTTAGTGGCTTGAGTGGGACGATGTTTTGCACAGCCACATGCAGTGAGATTCTTGGCGCAGAAGCCTGGAGCCTGCGCCACTCATTGCCAGACTGCTCCTTTTCTTCTGCCACGCTGATCATGAATCTCACTCGACGTTGATTTCACGTTCACGATCGTGCTCGGCGCCCCACGACCACAGGACACGATCTCGGACAGAGCTAATGGGCCGCACGGTGTATCAAGATGCCTCTTTCGAGGAAGAATCACGAGATATTCGACAGGCTTCGGAAGCGCCACGGCATTGTTTTTTCCTCCCAATTGGAGAGCGAGCAATGGCCCGAGGGTCACCGCAACGTGCTGGAGGCAATTGAGACTGCCAAGTCGTACAGATACAGCACATATCAGGCCAGCCAAGACGAAATCGCCACGAAGCCGTGGAAAAATGACGCAAAACGACAAGCAAAGAAGCTCGTTGCAAAATCCAAGGACTGCGTATCGCGGAACGAGGCGACGTGGAGACTAGCATGCGAGTCACTCGTTTTTAGTCGCCTGGCTGCCGAAGTGGCATGGTATGATACTCTCAGCTCACCTACACACTCACCAGCACCCGGCTGACCGACTGTGGTGTTTAGTCAAACATGCCGTCAGAGAGTCTGGCGGTCTGAAATCGAGTCCTCTCTGGACGACAACAACAGGGCTTCGTCCAGCTTGAGAAAACGGCAGCAACAGCGTGAGCGCTGCCGTTGCCCCATGAGCTCGCGACCAGACGGCGAGTGAGTGCCAGACTATCTGCATGCACAATTCTTAACGCTACGAAAGCTCACGTTTCTGGAATCTAGAGAAGAGATGGTTGGGTTAAACAAACTCTTCATTGACCGAGCCGACGACATGGTAGTACATCCTGCAACTTTGGCAGAAGAATTACCCCAAGATCAAAGGCCAGACCGGGTGTATGGTCTACGGCAAACACGCAAATTTGATGAGCTTCTCTTGAAGAAAATCGGTAACGGTATATTCGTTGAGGATCGGTTACAAGAGCAACCCCATTCCACCGTAGGGGAAGCCCTTTTATTCCCATTTATGGTCGTAGAAGCAAAGGCTGGAAACGCCGCGGACGAATGGCACGATATCAAGCTTCAGACTGCCTTTCCGATCTACACCTACTTGCAGACTCAGCAAAGTCTACGTGCTGCGACAGGCTCAAGGTGCAGATGGGATTCAGGGCCGCTGGTATGGTTCTTCTGCAGCAGAGGAGATGATTGGAGACTGTTCCTCGCCTATCAAAGCCGGGCGGACGCCGCTGCATCCCAATCTCCCGTGTCATTCCAAACGGTAAGCCATCGGAACCTGAAGTTTGTGAACTGTTCGGCAGGGTTGTCAATGGCTGACTTGGTTTTAGATTATCGCACCTGTTTGGACGGGCTGTACATCTGATCTTGACGCGGCGCTACAGCTATTTTTAATCGTAGACTTCATCGCCGACTGGGCTAGAGATGTGTACCGCGCTTCCATCATCACGGAACTGCGTATCTTATCCAGCCCTGCTCGCGATGTGTCCACAGTTGCTTCGGAAACCTTTGTCTTTTCGACTCAAAGTATTCATGGGTATGATAAAACGGATGAGGATATATTCGAGGAGTCCAAGGAGCATCGAGATGATTTGCAAGATGCTTTCAAAAACCTAGACTCTTCTTTCGGTGCCGTCCGCCACGTTGCCCCGATTGAGTCCCGGTTTCGTGCTCTTTTCATCACCGAAGATAACGTGCAGACGTTTCTAAGTTCCATGGAGAAGAGCGACAGGGAGCTGTTCGTTAAACGTGTCTTGACCACATTTGACCGGCCCCAGTACTCTCAACTGAGCCTCACCGGTGACAATATTAGTTCCATCGAAGAGGCGTGGACGGGTAACACGAGGCTACGGACGCCGTTCAACATTCGGGAATCCAGACTCAATACCTTGCTCGTTGTCACCTACCACCTATCTCCTTCTTGGGAGCAGATCCGTGAATTATGCCTCATCTCAATCACAAAGCAAGCTTTCGACATCATTTCCGGCGAAGCAAAAGTCAAAACCCCACCATCTCAATTGAAGAGTGAAGGAGATTTCAGCTGGGTAGTTGATAAGGTTGCGCAGCTCAAGGATGTGAGCGCCGCAGATAACCTGTCTTGCTGCATCTCCAGGGTCTGCGTGTATCTAGACGACTACCGGTTGTCATCTGTGGCGAGCCAGCTTCTAGGTCGATTCGAGAAATGTGATGCCACAGTCTGGGAGCTCGTCAATTATACATATAAACAACACAAAAGGGGGGACCTGGAGCCGGATCTGCCATTTCTCCGTCTCTCGACAACTGTCGATGTCCAGATGAAAACCAAAAGTTCCACCGCCGCTTTTACGCGACCATTGGCGGTTGACCACCAGCTACGCTGGTCCAGAAGCTCTACTGTTCTGGTCTACGGAAGTCTTCACCGCCAGGGCGAGGTTAAGGGTGTGCCTAGCCTCTGCGTGTATCTTAATGAATTTTACAAGGAACCGCCGAGCCTGGCCGATCTGGCCAGAATCATAACCACCACATTTCAAGACCACGATGTTTATCATACTACCCGCGACAATGGGAACTTGAAGCTTAGGACCTGGAATATCTATAGAGATATTTGGAACTTGAGGAACAACTATGGAGTCTTCTTCTCGTATGGAGATGCCAGTTTCTCGAAGTGGGTAGGCGATCTTGGCTTTCCCCCGCCTTCTCGGCAAGGCTCCCCAAGAGGGCCTTTTGATACTGGGCGTACGATGTTCGAAAGAAAGTACAATCCGTGGCAGGATCCTCGTTTAGCTAATAACCAGGCGCGCCCTTCTCTGCGGAAGAAGTTTGTGAAGGAGCTGATTATGGCTGAGGCTTTGGAGTGGGCTCGCCTCGCTCGACAGAGCATCATGCTCGGAAATGCCTGCTGCTGTCTTTGTGGAGGCGAGCTTGACTCTGGGGATGACGAGCCCGAGTTTCTGTATGAGGTGAAAGCGGAAGGGACCAGTTTCGATGGTTCTGGAATACGAGGCGCCGATTCGTCTGAAAGTGCGGCGGTAGAAACGTCGTCCTTGATGCCGTATAATTTCAGAAGCCGTTGCCAAGGTGAGAATAAGGAAGAAAAGGTTGAGAATCTTTGCTTGGTGTGTACGGAGCACATGTTTCATGAGAGCCACTGGGGCGAAGGATGGCAGGATTGGATGAGAGAGGTGCTAAGGATGGCTCTGTGCAAAAGCATGGCTGAGGAGGATGCACCTGAGGCTGGCCCCGTCGCTGGTCCGTCGCGTCTTGACATCATGTCCACACCACCGTTGCCGGAAAGCCCGCATTTCAAACGGTATTCATCCCTCGGCTTCGATGATGACGATCAGCTCCCATTAGTTAGAAAGAGAAGGCACTCTGGAGACGGAGCAGAAGTATCAGCTAAAGATATCAAGCCTTTGATAATCGACTTGACCAGTGATAGTTAAAGAGACAAGTAAAGCTTTTTGAATTTGTGATTCCAATTGCCATTCTAGACAGTGAAACGGTAAACTTCTAACACATACAGTCGCCACTTTCACATTCCGCCAAAAGCCACATACAACCAGTGAACAAATTATGTGAAAAGTTGAGTATCCTGGAAGCTATCCTCTTCATCTGACACCTAAGTGCAATCAATATCCATGGCCACTTTGTTCACCCACGTATACTCAGGGTCATGACCAAGTGGTATAGAAAAGGGCCGCTTCAACCCTCTAACCTCACGAAACATCACCTCGCGTTCCCCATCAGTGCTCACTAGGGTTTCCGCCTTCTTCATCCCTCTTCGTGTTCTCCCCAGGTTCGAACCGACATCCCACATTTGATATTTTACGGATATGCTCTTCAGTTTGAAGCAGTCCTCCCATATAAACTTCCCTTCTTCACTATCCTCACTGCTACGGGATAAGAATCCCTTGATAACACCGTCAAGAATGATCCGCCCCGAAGTAGGGTTGAAGGGAAAGCGCCGCTGGCTGCGATGGGGGTAACATGTGATGACTCTTAGTTTAGCTGCATGTGACAGCGCAATACCAATGTCTTCCTATTTCCCGGCGTCAGTTTCGATCATCCACTTCAGTGAAATGTGCCTCAAGCAGATGATAGTTATGGGGCCTCTTCTCACAATTTCGTTTTCTTCTGGGGCGAATTCGATCTCCTCAAGCTGAGGCAAGTTGTTGACAAGAGCTGACACAGATCTTGCGGACAGATAGGAGACCCTGCGGTTACTTATAAGCTCACCAAATGAAATCCTGAGCACTTTTAGCCCTCTATGCCGGGTAATAGCTTGCACGATCTGCTCTTCGATGACTGGGTCAGCGGTGGTATCGATCATGTGTCGTGAGTCGTTATGTAGCTCCAACGATGTGAGCGTATTGAACGCTGAGATGAACTGGCATTTCACTTTAATGAGTGGTTTATGCAGCTGCGTCATCGTCGCTGGCTGCTGTAGTTCTTCGTCTGTCTCGTCGTTTTTGACGCTGGAAAGCGTTAGGAAGAGGGTATGTAGACGAATATGTGAAGTTGTGGCCGCCATTTTCGTGAGGGTTTTGAAAAAGAGCTCGGATGCACCAGCTACACGCCTAACTTCAAGCCCGTCGAGCCCGAGGAAGTCAACCGATCTCTTCAAGTGACGGATCACCTCTGTGTCTAGAGTCGTGTCTTCTAAGGTGAGTGATTTCAGAGCCGAGAAAACATGATGCTGGGCATTTGTAGAGCCTCTGCTAGTAGGCACCGCTTCTCCCAAGTGATTTAGAAATGAGGTTGTGTATCCCATGCCTATCACTCGAAGGCTCTTGAGAGTGGACTTTGAATTGCGGATTAGACTAGCAAGTACGCTCTCGCCGGGTGTAAGCTGATAACTATCCATTTCAATCATGCTGAGATGTTGCAAGCTCTGGATTTCGGCTAGCGGCTTGATAGCGGTTTCACTGAACGCGTTTGTGCTGATTGAAAGAGCCTTTAGCTTTTCAAGAGACGCCATCTTCTCTGCAATGGGCCTGAAAAGAGTGTGAGAGTGCATCGGTTAGCCATTTGCATGCTTGAGGTTGACTTACTTTGTCAGAAAACTAATATCTACTATCTCTAGGTTTTTCCAATGATCCAATGCATGTCCTAAGTACTGGTTCACAGTTTCTTCATGCTCTTCGCCCAAACCGAAAGAACCAACAATGAGCTGGCGGACGAAGGATGCGCATTGAGGCACTCCATGCTGGTCGATGTGGTCTGGAAATCTCCCCTGGTGGCTTTGGTATTTGTCAACCTTCTTTTCAAGCTGCCGTTTCTGTGCTATAGTTAGATGGGAGTCGAGAGCTCTGGCCATCTTCAGGAGTCGCGAATGGTAGGCTTCAAGGACGACCATTCGCCGGTGCAGGCGTGGTGCCGCGAGCGAGTAATAGATCTTGCTTGTTCGGCTCAATTTCCCCATTGTAGTCGAGTCTGTGATCTAGATTGAATTAGCTGGATTCTAGTGAAGATTCCACGTACTTTGAGCTTACGTTCTCAACAATCATTTCCAGGATCTCCATCGGCAGACAGGATATGTGGTCATGACGAGCATCCGGCAGTAGCTGGTGCGGTGCTTTGCTCTTGGCCCTGCTTTTCATCGCAGACGATCTCCCCATTTTGGCAGACTTCTCCCTCTCAGCAGTAATCACCGGATTTCAGAGACGATGTGTTGCGTTTCCAGCTTATGGCGGTTGACTTTTAGCGAGAGCAGCAGCTGTCTGTGAATAAGCATGACTTTACTTCCGGCTGTTTTTATGCGGTGTAAGCCTGGGCCTTAGGCCTATTGGACATCTGCGGCGTAGCGAGAAAGCAAAGACCAATAGGAAGCTCAAGAATGCTCGGCAATTGTGGCCACGTGTACTGTAGTAGGCAGGTTGCCAGATTATGGTCCTTGGCGTATCACTCGCTGGCCGTGCATCGTTGTTTAGCGTGGTACGGTCAGTGGTCTATTCATGATCTGTATGTGATACTCCGTTTCTTAACAGCGTGCAAAATATCACGTTAGTCTGTTGGCTGAATTAGCAAGCGATGTCAGCGTATGGGAAACTACACATTATTCCGCTTCACTTTCATTTACCTATGTGAGCATATGTATGGCGCCAAATGCTTGGTAAGCCCAAACAATAAATGTGTAGCTATCGTTAATTAAATATCACCTCTGCCCTGAAGTAAGCTATCGTGCAAAAGGCCGTGCATATGTCGCGACAAGTCGGGGCGTCTAGACTCTCAAAAATATCAAATCTACTTTTACTATAAGCCCAGGGAAAGACACCCCCCGAGGTCTGAATAACGAAGGCAGAAGCGATCGGCTTCATACATAGGGGTCAGCCGAGACGGGGTCATTGCGTAACAATGACACAACACACAACAACAAGAGATTGAATACAAACGCATTATTGACCCAAATAAGCACTCGTTATTGACCGTATCCGTTTGAAACCAACACTAGTTGGTTTGTGCCGTCCTTACCCAAAACCCCGTCGGATGTGCTTTCAGCAAATGGTCAACGATATCCCAGGGCTGTGGAAATGTCATTTGAGTGGATGGCGGACAGAAGGGACAGAAGAACCCGCCGTTTTCCTTCATCAAGCTCCCAATTCCAGGGTTACGGTTGTACTGTCGTACCCAGTGGTCGAGGTCGTCCCGCAGAGGGCCGGGTTCGAATTGACGCCAGTCATCTGGTAAGGCCTGAAATTGGCCTGGCTGGACCTCTTGAGTAAATCTTTCGGGCTGGAAAGGTGATCTCGTGGCTCCTTGGTGAGCACCAGCCACCGTATTATGAGGAGATGGGGTTTCGTGTCCTCCCCTGCTTGTCAAGGGAGGCAGCCACAGATGTGTTTGGCTCGAGGGGTTCAAGGGAGGAAGGGCCGAGGAGAAATTTGTTTCTTGTGATGGCGAATAATACGTATTTTGGGAAAGAGGAATCTGGTGGCGATTGGTCTGTGGTTGGTGCGGGTACGGATCCGTGGAAGATGCTTGGTAGGACTGCGCTGTCGTTGAGGCCTGAGAGGACAGTCCTGGCGGCCCGGAAGCCCAATGAACGGGGATTTGTCTCTTTGCCATATGACGCTCAATCTCATGAAACATCTCTCCAATTTGAGCTCGAGTGCGAGGGGAGGCTTCTTGTGGATTCGGCCCTGCTACGTTCGAAGTTTCTCCTCCCGGAGCTTGGGCTCCCACGATTGGAGGAATTGATGATGCTGAAGGGCGATGCTCTCCTAGTTGCTCTGCAGGGTGTTCTCCGGCTATAGAAGGAAATGTAAAATGACCAGTAGCAGCTTCCTGAGGGCGGCTGGTTTCACAATTTCCTCCCTCCATCATATCAGCCTTGTTACGAGCATAGTTGAGACTAGTATGAGCGAGGTTCTCCAAGTAGGATTCTTCAAAACCACCGCTCTCGTGTCGTGCCTGACCTGTCTCGGCCGAAAAGGATGATAATGCATTCTTGGATGCCGTGCCGCTCTCGGAATCTTGGGCGGTTGATTCACTCTCAATTTTATCATTTGGATGAACTACATTTCCAGATGTTGTTTCTTCAGATAACGGTCCACCATTTGGGTCGGAGAATGTCTCTGGTTGAGTTGACCTTTCAGGTTCAGGGTTTGATTTACCTTTCTCAAGAAGGTTTGTGCGCATAGTATCGGCCACCTCCAAAAGTGGAGTTGAATTTCGATGATTTTGGATGTCGTCTGTATTCCTGGCTGGCGTTAATTTGATCTTGCGGAGGACGTCGCACGCTTCATGATAGTGGTGATTTAGCTTCCATCCCACCTCATCATCTTGAACACTGATCATATCACAACCGGCGACCCATGAGGCTGGGCATTTTTTCAGTTGGGAGCTAATTAAGCATAGGACTGGATATTCCCGGTTTGATTCGAGCCTCCCATCGTCCTCATACCCTCGCGCCCATTGATACTTCTGAGAGCGCGAGCTGAATAAACAGCACTTGGGCATATCTTCATCCAGATGAAGGGTGGAAAGGTTCTCGCTGATTCCGATAGACTCCATGTCGTTTAGAGGCAAAATCAGAATAGGGGTCTTAACAGCATTGTCCCCAAAGTATGCCAGGCACACCTCCCCAGGCGCGCGACGTACATAGGTGTTCTCTTCTGAATCATCTCGCTCTGCTCGGGGGGCGCGACGACGAGAGGGTTCCGGTCCATGTCGGAAGACAGAGCCAACCTGCCTCCAACCGGGACCTAGCGTTTCTTGTGCTGCATCGTCTGTGGGCTCGTCTCCACAGCCTCCTGATCGAGTTCTCCCCGACATGGTTTCGCTTCGGCCACGCCCTCGGGCACGTCCTCGAGGTCGTCCTCGGAGCCGTCCTCGGAGCCGTCCCCGTTGTCCTCTCATTTTAGTCTCTGGACTTTCCGCAGTGCGCATTCCGGCACGACCACCACTGGAAAATCGAGAACTCCTGTTCCGGCGTCGTTTGCGTCCTTCCTCATTCTGCTCTTCTGTTTCACGTGGCAAGAGTTCGGCATCAGGGCGAGGGCGCTTCATCTGTGTCCAGTTTAGTAAATTCTTGATTTCAAACGAACATCAATTCTGCCGGATTCAACATACAGCCTTTTCCGTGTTACCTTTCGGTGTAACCGCATGTCCCTCCTCTTCAGAATTATCATCATCGGAGACACCCTCGGAATCTCCGATATTTTCTACAGGATCCTCTTCGACTTCGGCTTCTGAGTCAAACACCCTGGTACTATCTTCAATTTGACTGCCTCTGTCCGTGTCTGGATCATTCCGCTTTGTACCATCAGGCCAGTGACCGCGCACTAGACCGTCCACAGCTGCGTGTAGGCGCTGGAAGACTTGTCGTTGTCGCCTCTCATATACCGCTTGTTGAGCTTCCAGCGTCGACTGATATCGACCAGCGAGGCTCGACTTTTCCGTGAACAACAGGCCCAGGCTATCCCGCTCCTGTTGCTTCTCAGCGCTTGACATCTCGTCATACGCAGCCCACCACTGCGATATTCGGGCGTCGATAGCGTCGACCTTCGCCTTGTATTCTTGTTGTGGTGATCTGAGCGCCTGCAACTCCTGCTTATGCCGTTGGAAGCATTCTTCCCACTCGGCAAAAACGCGCTCCACATCCGTGGCAGGAGGCCCTTCACTCTGCCCGTCTGTAGCCATGTCCGGAAAGAGCGCAGCGCTATGTGGCTATTTTCCTCTTCCTTGTTTCAGAGAGCGTGTTCGTTGATGGTGGGAGGATCAAGGCTGAGAGAAGCGCGACAGGGCTGAGGGAGATGGAAGGGGGGGTGAGGACAGGGCACAGCCAACTGGCAATGAGGCAACAACGCCTCCTTGGCTGCACATCTTATTAATTACGGCCAAACTGTTGTTGGTTGCAGTTGTCTGTTGGCGCGAAAATGCTCGTTTTGATAGGCTGGACCTGAGGAGGGTGTGGAGCAGTCATAAGCGACTGACATAAAACAGAACCTACAGCATCTGGTTTTAACACAACACAATAGCAAAATAATCTATCTAGTCACAAACACAATATTGAGCTAAATGTTATAGAATAATTTACTATTTTCTTAATATTGTGTCTCATATTATCAGAAAGAAAACCAGGCCCCTATCTTACATGAAAAGGGTTCAAGTGCTGTTTTATCTCACCCACTTGTAATGCACAACTTGTACAATGTCTTCATGCATAATATCTCAGCACATTCGGATATGCTTAGCCTCTTCTTACTTACCTAACAAAGTTCTAAGCTAAACTCGGAGATCTTGTTTCTTATCCGCCCTTTCAGCGTAATCGTAACATGAAAGATGAAAGGCTACCTTTGCAATTGTTATTCGGTGGACAACCATGGTACGTATATCTCATTCACCTATCATGCTTGCCTCTACTGCATGTAAAGTCTAGCAAGACAGGCTGGCAGAAGGATAGCGTGCTGAAACCGAAAGAACGGTTTCAGTTTTGCACACTATTCTGGAAACATTGAAAGACGCCAGAAATGCGTAGCTCCATCGCCATCTTGAGCCTCAATGACCACGCCCTTGTCCAGAAACAGTTTGGCGATGGTTGTCAGGTCAGCCCAGCGGGGGTTATGCGCCGCCCAATGAAGAGGAGTCATGCCAGTTCCATCGCGGGCATCAAAGTTGGCTCCGTGGTTTAGCAACAGCTGTACCACGCCTTCGCGGGAACCCTTTGTTGAGAGATGGAGCGCCGTCTGTTGATCGTTATTCTCGACTTCAATGTCAGCCCCATCCACAAGCAACAAATCAGCCACCAACTCGCGCCCGTTCTCGGATGCGATCAAGAGTGGCGCCCGACTGCAACTATCCCGCAGTTCATGACTCTTTCTGTTTTCAACAATGTCATTGACGGGTCTATGCGTCCCAAAGTATGTTGCTAAGTGAGGTCCTGATATTTTCTTGGGGAAATTCTGACTATAATTTCGACTTAGCCACTGTCTCCGGGCGTCTACCATCAACGCTTGGCTGATTGCCCCAACTTGATCCGGCTGACAAGAAACTGCATCAGCTTCCGCTGGACAGTCGAAGCTGTTCGTGCGTGGTGCCCCCAAAAGCGGGCTGCATAGTCGTACAGAGGGTTTGACTCGAGACGCGCCTTAACCTCTTCTTCTGTTACACAGGGGCCGTTCTCAAATACCGGCGATGAGAGATATCCGACGCAGATACTCGCTGTGTACTAATTTGCGTTAGGGCACCAATGCTCCCGAGACTTTCGACAGTATTCTTCGGCCGTATGGTGTGCCAACTGCACAATTCCCGTTTCTTCGTCGACTGTGGTCAATCCGGCGCATGTAGAACTAAACTCAATAGTAGGCAAGAAATGCTCATCAATGTGAGACTCTCCGATCCCAAAGGGCCAGGCGATTTCGGCCGCAATCGCGTGTTGAAGTTCGAGGTTGGTGAGGGGTCTTTTGGCAAAGGTAACCTATCTAATTACGCTCCATGCCAAGTCACGATACTTACCTTGCATAGTTCATATTATTAGTTGCTCGTATATTCTCACATATAATACTGTGCAAGCTGTGCTCTCGGCCGAGTTACTAGATCATGTTTCAAGCTCCTAGCGACAATTACTACCTGTGGGGATGTCAGCAGCTGAGGCCACCAAGCGACCCAGCAACCTAGCCTTGAGTCTTGAATATTTTAGCTAAGTCTCGTTTGGGTTTCTCCATTTGCCATGAACTAACCATTCCCGTCAATTCCTGTCGACGTCTTGTTCCGAAAAGGAACCCGAGAGTCGAATATAACGGGACCGAACGCCGTCATTGAATGCCGAGACTTGTGACTGTCAGTACAATCCCGAGCCGCTGGGGAATGCTATCCAGCGAATGCTGTGATCTGGCGATGGCTGAGCATGTTTCCGATTTCTACATGCACTGGCCTAGACATACCTTAACAAGTGTATAACTTATGATAGCAACTTGCTATGTTTACCTCATTAACAAGCAGGTAGTCCTAGTCCGCAGGAAGCTATGACGATTCATGTATGTATTTGTGCTTCTTGTCTCGGCAGTACCTCATCTCCGCGGACCACGATTTAAAACCACAATTCTTGATTGATTGAAAACCAAAACCGTTCAAACAACCTCCTGGATTAAGAAAAAAACTCTTTCTTAAAATAGTAACTTCAACCTAATAAGATGCGATTCTTTCATGCAAATGGGATGACTTGTAAAACAAAGATGTAGGGCTTCAGGAAGTAATTCTACCAATTATAACATATTGTCACGACAGTTATAGAAGAGCAGAAATTCCCTCTTCTCCATCAAAAAACTGTGTGTTGTCTTCGTATTCATACGTTCTTTCGTTGTAACGCAGCCGATCTTGCAGTTGGGAAAAGTGAAAAGAGACTGTAGCCCACTCCCGGACCCCGCCCCCTATCGAAGAAGCGTTTGAGATGACATATGGGTATTTCATCATGATGGAACTTATCTCTAGTCTCATATAATGTAGAGCCAGCTTTAGATATTGGTGCTATGCTCATACCGGAGAGAGTTTTGATAGAAAGTTAAACAAAAGAAGAAGTCAGACCCAACAACTCAATACAATGAATACGAAAGGTTAAAAAAAAAAAAGCTTTGCTAGCCCAAGGCTGCAGTCATACGGCAGAAAATTCTGTAAACCTTCATGCCGATGACTCGCTTGCCGTCAGGACGAGCTGCGCGTCGAATGACTATTAAAGCTGCCCTCTTCACCTGGGTGCTATGCTCATACAGTAATCACAAAAGACACATGGACCAGAAGACTTTTTTGTGAATTATTCGTTGGCCAAAGCAACAGTGCCCTAGAGCAAGAGGCAGAACTCACGGGTTACGATAGCTCCAGTAACTGTTAGAGCAACACTCTGGAAGCTGTGACACAGAAAGTCCTATTGTATCGAGGGTATATGCTGCGGTGAGCAAGGTAGAACAGTCGTAGTAACGGTCTTTTTGAGATGGCACAGAAAGAGTTCTCAACCAGCATGCCGGGGTGATACCTTGCATATGTGTTCCCCGGGTAGCACGTTCAACAAGAGCCCCTGTGGCGCAGTAGTCACCGCAGTTCCATGAGGCTGACGTGAGATATAGGCCTGATTTCAAACTCAGCCCCATTCATGGTCATGTATTTCCGCTTATTAATGGCTATCGGCACCCGTTGAAGTAAATCAGTGGCTCTGAGTCAAATCCGACTGCCGGTCTCCTCCGGGGCCTGCAGGGGACATTCTGTGTTCGCTTCAGCGTGATCCGCCCAGAAGAGCACCAGAAAGCTGAACATCTCACCATCTTTAAATAACTAATCTCGTGTTTGAGGGTACTTCATGTTAACCCATGAGTTGAGAAACGAGCCAGGGTCAAGGGACGCCAAGTTTATCAAAGCGGTATTATGGCAAATCCCGAGCGATCATTTCAGGTTTCTGGAATGCTTGGTGTTGGAAAAATCAGAGAACTTACTGACAGACCCTTTCTAGTCTCCTTAGAAGAAATCAATGCCTTTAATCGATAGAATGTGAGGAAGAATACTATTGAACTTTTTCTAACATTTGGCGTTTATCGTTAATTAGATGAGTCTACACCAAAGCTACCAACCTTAAGAATAGGCTTATTCTTTTACTACAGCGAAATCACAATACTTCATGCGCCTATTGAAGCCTACCTATCGAGAGGTCTAGATAACGTTCACAACGATGATGTTCAGACCAACGTATTGGCCAGTCTCATCAGAGCAACGCGACGCAAAGAGATACAGAATACCCCCAATTCTGCGTTTGGACGTAGGCAAAAATAAATTTTCAATCCGAATTATGATTGAGGCATTAACGCCCACGCAAGAGCGAGATGCATTGATAAATGAAAAGCCGGTTACGAACGCACGTAGAATGGGGCGTAAGTAAGAACGCCTTGTGCTAATGCAAGTACTGAATATCACTCATACGAGGAATATCCCCATATCCATGTCGCTAGCTTAATACCATATTCAACCTCTTGCAGTACCAAATCCTGACCTAGGAGATAGTTGAAAGAAAGGTGACCCTTCGATACACTATGTTGACTCTGCTACTGTTGTTCGCAAAGGATGCTCTTTCTCAACATCAAGAATCATGAACGCTGACTAGACCGATTAAAAATCACTGGACACATATTGATCATGCATATCGCATTCATGAATTCGGAAGAAATTTCCTAGTAGTTCTCCTGTCGATCGTTTTCACTCTCACGCTCATATCTCGTACCGTCCCCCAACCCTGTCATACCAGTGAGCACAGCCGGGACGCGTCATCGAAATGGACGCCCCTGGCTGCCCTTTTTGGTAAATCTCGTACAAACCCTGGATTGAATAGAATGGGTATCCATGGCCAGCACGAAGGAACATATCACATAGTGACCCAATGTGGAAGCAAGACGGCGCAACAGTATACTGTGGCTAGACTGACAGACTTCGAGGCGGTAAGACCCAGGTCGAGAAGGCTAAATCGCAGCGCCAAAGAGGAAGGTAGCCTGTATCAAACTAAGGAGAGCCGTTAGATGTTAGAACAATCTGTGGAATATAAGATGTTCCCGTTTGACCGTCTTTGGAGCACTCTTCCACCACACTCATCACTTTTTAGACAGATTCACTTACAACACTATCTACCTCGACATTTAACTTTTCAAAAACGATGAAACCATCGACCTTTTCGATTTTAGCGGGAATTGTCAGCATCACGACAACTGCCAACGGAGCTCGAAGTGATGCGGAGGGCGTTTGGAATGAGGCACAGCTAAGCTATGAAAAGTTCACTGAAGAGTTCCTCGCCAACGCCACTACTTCAAATGGTTCTTGCAACAAAGAAAATGTCCGCTCGCGCCAGCGGTGGGACGACTTGTCAACAGATGCACGGCTCGAGTACATACGTGCGGTAAAATGCTTATACTCACTCCCATCCACAACGGATCCTCTTGTTGCACCCGGCGCTAAGACTCGCGTCGACGATTTTGTCTACACTCACATCAACCAGACAAATTTCGTACACGGTTCCGGAATCTTCCTCCCCTGGCATAGAGAGTTCATGTGGCTCTATGAAAGTGCGCTCTATGATGAGTGCGGCTTCAAGGGAACTGGTGTGCCTTACTGGGACTGGTTCCTTCACACGGACGACCAAGCTAGTTCGCCAGTCTTTGACTCAGGACCAGCAGGATTTGGCGGCAACGGCCTCTACATCCCACACGAAGCAAGCAACGACACTCTAGTTGATGTGCCCGGACCCGTCTGGGTGGACCGAGATGCTGGCACTGGTGGTGGCTGTGTCGTCGATGGCGCTTTTGCCAATCTCACACTCACCCTTGGTCCTGTCGTTCCGGCAGATACCCCTGCGGATGATCCATATGGTCTCAAAGGCAATCCACGATGCCTGAAGCGCGACTTCCTGCAGCCTCAAAGCTCGGCTCACCTGACATTCCAACAGGCGGCCGATCTGCTTGAAACGACCACCTACGCCGAGTTCCGTGCCGCCATTGATCAAGATGAGATGCATCCGGCATCGCATAAGTTTCTCGGCGCCGACGGCTACGACTGGTATTCTTCACCCAATGACCCGGTTTTCTTCCTCCTACATAGCCAAGTTGACAGAATTTGGAGTATCTGGCAAACCCAAGAGTATCATACACGCACAAACCAGGTTGGAGGCACCGTGACCTTCCGCAATACCCCACCCTCTGCGAACGCTACACTTGATACTGTGCTAAGAATGCTGACTGCCGGGCCCGATGTTTTGTTTGGAGAAACTGTCTCTCCGCTTGAGAATTACTGCTATAGATATGTTTAAAAAAACACCTCTCCGCGACTCTTTGGACCCAAAGGATAAGAACGTGGGGATCGAGCGAATAGCAAGAGGAAGAACCTCATCTGGCATCATTCAACATGAGCCAAACTTCAAGTAGAGGCGGCATTGTCTTCCTCTTTTAAAGATTTATGGTAGCTTGGCCTAGGTGCTTCGCAGAAAAAACAATATAACTACTGTCATTACCGCACAAGTCTCATGTCATGCGTTCGAATTCAACTTGGGATGCAAATTTTCTTTCGTGTAACTCCGATGGGCGCTCTGTTCCAGGTGAAAGTTACGCGTTGCAGCCAGTCTGAAAACTTCTTGATCAAATGGCCGCCATCATAGCTGGCACACATCGCATCATAATCTCAATTTGGTATTGAAAGGAGTTCTCCAGGGGGTCATTTTAATATTTATTCCCACATAGTAATAACCTAGCCATCGATTATGCATCGACCCAGTTTAAATTAATCCACTATCTTAGCGCCCTTAAGCATGAATTCAGGGGGTACAGGGAGGAAACAAGACATCTATCGCCAGCTACTCAAACTTGCAAGTAAACTTATCAGCGTCAATGTTCAGGTTCATTACTCTCTCTTTTCCTGCATTTAATTTGAATATCACGATGTATATGTTTCTCTTTTTTGCAAAAATAGAAATATTCAAACACATTTTTTTAATCTACCATACAGTTGGAACGTATCCAAGCCACCGATCAACTACAGCCACGAAGTATATACAGGTATATTTAGTACACGGATCCCGAGTCTTGAACTTGAGGGATCTAGTAAAATCTCTTGCCCTTCTTGACATACTTCTCGAGATAGAATGGGTCTCCGTGGCTGGAGGTTGAACTAGCCTTGGAAGCACGGTTCCCACTGCTCTTACCACCGCCAGACATAGTAATGGGATGTGTACCTCCAATGAGCTTGGGGTTGGAGATCTTAGGCTTGGGCTTCTCGGTCTTGGGCTTGCTCATACCGGCACCGCGAGCTCCTAGACCTCTCTTGCCCTTCTTGACATATTTCTCGAGATAGAAGGGGTCTCCGTGGCTGGAAGTGGAACTGGCCTTGGAGGCACGGTTCCCGCTACTCTTACCACCGCCAGACATAGTAACGGGATGTGTACCTCCAATGAGCTTGGGGTTGGAGATCTTAGGCTTGGGCTTCTCGGTCTTGGGCTTGCTCATGCCGGCACCGCGAGCTCCTAGACCTCTCTTGCCCTTCTTGACATACTTCTCAAGGTAAAAGGGGTCTCCGTGGCTGGAAGTGGAACTGGCCTTGGAAGCGCGGTTTCCGCTGCTCTTACCACCGCCAGACATGGCGATGGGATGAGTGCCTCCGATGAGGGTTGGTTTTGAAATCTTGGGCTTGGGCTTCTCAGTCTTTGGCTTGCTCATGCCAGCGCCGCGAGCGTAGAGCTCGTCCTCGAACTCACGCTCGAATAGCTCGTCGTCGAAGTCGCGCTCATAGAGGTCATCCTCGAAATAGCGTTCGTAAAGCTCATCCATGAAATCACGCTCATAGAGGTCATCTTCGAAATCACGCTCGAACAGCTCCTCGTCCTCGTCGCGTTCAAAGAGATCGTCCTCGTCACGCTCGTAGATCTCCTCGTCCCTCTTACCCTTCTTGACGTACTTCTCGAGGTAAAAAGGGTCGCCGTTGCTCGAGGTTGTGCTGACCGTTGAAGACCGGTGGTTGGCTGGCTTCAAGGCATTTCCGTTCATGGCAATAGGGTTGGTACCGCCAATGAGCTTGGGGTTGGAGATCTTAGGCTTTGGCTTTTCGGTCTTGGGCTTGCTCATGCCGGCACCTCGAGCTTCCAGATCAGGGGCGATGTCGCCTCCATTGTTAACGCGGACCCCGAGGTCGACGTTTTCGTCGCGGGCCACAATGTCGCCCGAAACATCAGAAGCAACAACGGCACTAGACAGAGCCAGAACGATTGGAATGGCGGAAAGCTGCTTGATAGCGACCATGATGAATGATAAATTCCAAAAGATATGTTAGGGGAAAATGGAATAGAATGAAGTCGGGAGAATAAATAAGGCTAGCTTAAGTATTGTCGAAGAATATCAAGGAAATTTGACTGATAAAAGATGATCAAGGAAACTGACAGATAAGGAAAAAGGAGACAAAATGGAAAGTTGGAAGTGTTTGATGAATGAAACAAAAGAAAATGCGTGGATGGACGAGCCAGAGCCGTGTATTTATCTTTCTCGATACAGAGCTAAGAGTGAAAGGTGTAGTCTATTTTTGGCCACAAACTACAGAGTGCAGACAGTGCATGGGGATACCGAACAGTCTTGTCTTAACGCGTAGGATTGACATTGTACGAAGCGGAATCCTGCTTACGCCCGCACTTCAGGAAGGTAAAAACCACGAGCGATTCCCTGCCTCCAGAAGGATGATATCCAAGCAATATGCAGAGCCTCTCAGGGTCCAGGATCACTGGGATTATTGTGCTCAACTGTTGTGGTCTGCTCCATTCTCAAGCCACCCAATCGATGATCTTCTCCTTCTCCTTTTCTTTCCTCTCTCCATGTCCCCTTATCTTGTTTACCTCCGTTCTACTTCTCCCGTTGTATTACCATTTTATAGAAGTTTTGGACAATCAATTATTACTCTCGGCCTGCCATGCTGGGTCAATGCTTTTACAGACTGTGAGCAAGGGTGGTCCGCTGGCCACCTCCATCCGCCCAAGTGTGGTTGCATCCGTGAAAACCGGGAATTCTCTGCTTACTGAATGACATACCAGGCATCAAGTGCCGTTCGGCTCAGAATCTCAGGCCACGCCGCTTCAATCCTTCTTCTTCTGGAAAATGCAATACCACCTGACCACGTTTTACGGGATTACGTAGCTGCAAGACGTCTAGTAATCGTGAGGCGGGCCAGCTTCGGTATCAGGATATCAAGATACCCGTGATGCCACGCGTTTCTAATTATGCCATCCCATCAGCACCAGTCTCGCGTTATCCCAGAAACACACGAACAGCCGGGCCTAGAGCCACCGTTAAGAAAATCCCGGGGCTGACGACCACGCAATAGAAAGCTCTCCCACCAACAGTGTTACATAGTAGGTCCACAGTGAGACTGGCGGGTCGCGCGATCCCTACAGGCCAGTTCGAGCGACCCCTGCAAGCCAGGTCTTCCGTCAATACAGACATGTAGTCAAGACAATCCCCTCACGATGCGTAGGCGGGCGCTCCGGGGTCGTCTTGCATCAAGACGATTAATTGATGCGGACCTGGCCCGACTCTCCCGTGTGAGGCGAGCGACCTGACCCCAACTTGTTCAGTTTGTCAAATACAAAACGCTCTCCTGAAGTGCCGTAGTGTTTCCTTTGTGCAAAGATGAAAGTACACTAATCATGCGAGTGACAGACTACTAACGAGATAGGACCTAAGCGGCAGTTTCGTCTCATTCATGGAACTTGGGAGTCAGCCTGGAATCCTCCATGTGGGGGACGAAAGGGCGTCAGATGCCTCTAGACAGGGATCATGATACCACTAACGGCAGTTCGGCAATCCCTGCTTTACGCGGATGACTTTCCAAATATAACGAAACGCGCGGGCGACGACACTCATGCTCCACGATCAGGCAGCGGGATTAATTTCGGACCTATTCTTCCCTGACTCGTCGTTGGCCATCGACAGCGACTGCCGCGCATATGAGTCCGAGGTCTAATATATCGTCTAATATAATTAATTTAATTTAATTTAAAAATCCAAATGCCGTAGTGGACACGATCGCCGTTGGCGTAAGCGACATCCCGGCCTTGATCAGCCCATCGACCACCTACGGTGAAGCAGAACATCTCCAGGTAGGGATTCAAGGATTACTTATTGCCTCCTTCCGACCCCCTAGTCGCGTGTCCCTGTTTGTCCATTTGTTCCTCGTCGTGTCGGTCGAGACTCCTACTCCCTCCCATACGCTCATATACGGCCTACTTGTTGCACCTACCCTAGACATGCCCACACAACAAATCCAGTTTCTGTCGGTTGAACAAGTGTTGAGATGTAAAGGAGATGCAAGTGCACACAACATGTAGAATAAATAAGAAAGTAAACAGATTTTTTATTTCCATGAATCTCTTTTTGTAGTGCGCATCTATTAATTTACAAGCGCTGAGCTTAGAGCTAATCCTTTTTTTCTATTGTCGTGTTTTTCTTACTATAGTGTAACTAATTCTTTTTTGTGAGTTTCTTTTGCTCATTTTATCTGGTCGAACTTTATTTTAATTTCATTTCGGATCCTACTGATGCTTCCCAAGAAAATCATCACTCAACATCATTTGAAACTGTAAAGACGATATTGATAGCGGATCTGGCTGCATTTGTCCAAGGCTCGGCGTGATCACCACTGGCTTGTTTGGCATTCGTTGTTTGCTCTCTACCAACCATTCGCTGTAAACAAGAAAGTACTATTTATAGTATATAATGTGCCATCTGGAGCTGATAAAAGATACTGAGGTGATTCGATATGGCTTTAGCCCAAGCTGATTACAGGGTATTGTTGCCTGCAAGGATCCCTTTTCATTCCGCGGGCCGCAGCTAGATCAACCCGCTATCCATGCCATGTTTAAGGTGAGGCCTGCCGTCAAAGAATTTTGGCCTGTCGGCTCGTAGGCGTACCAATCAGCAGGGGTGCTTAACTGTCAGGGTCACGCCTTTCTGCGAAGCCCTTCAGCTTACGTGTATTCCTTCGCCCCGCCTTTCAGCATCAAGGTTCAAGGGCAGTCCGAGATGGCCAGGTAGTTATTGGGAGGAAATGCGAGTTTTACAAATAAACAATATCTTTTGAATCCCACTGAAAAACAATACTAAACCCATGCCAACACCTACAGCCCTTGAAAGGATTCGAAATTTCCCTCAGGAGATCATTAGAAGGACAATATCTTTCGACAAGTACATTGCGCTAACGGAAGATCGTAATGGTGAACAAAAGCTTTGATCACTCCGAGCCCATGCCTAGTTTGAGTAGCGTCATTTTGTGGGTGATGATGATCAAGGAAACCTTTCTTATCGGATGCAGTCTTCACATCGTCTGATTCTTATTGTAGTGAAATGAGATGTTACATTCCCTTAGAGAACCTAAGCATTGGTTATCCAATCTGGGGGTTTCTCAATCTACATAAACTTGGGTTCTTCTTCTCAAGCCACCTCACTTAGCAGTACATGAGTGATGTAAAAGCCCACATCAGCGAATGAAATGTTATTCAATCTAAACGTTCAATCTTGACCAAATTATCACTTATACTAATTATATCACCCACCACCAGACCTACAGCGACACACCTGCCATCCTCTTGGCTTTTGATTTCAAGCTCCATCTTACTTGATTCAATACAGAGCTAGAGATAACTCTTGTTAGACAAATGGCCATCTGGGACTCCAAAACAAGCTGATGATTACTTACCAGAATATCTCCTTTGTTAACCATATCGCCTTCCTTGACGTTGATCTTATAACAACGTCCTGGCATCATCGCCTGGATCCACTCCCCTGGAATCGTGTCGGTCCCAATCTCGAGATTGTCTTTCCCCGAGTTCGCCGAATTCGCTTGCAGGTAGGGCCGTACAAGTTCTTCGACGAACGGAGAACTGGAGATGACGCGTGCTTGATGTGCCTTCCTTGACTCGATATCCACCTTATTCTTGTCCAGCCATGATTCGTACTCAGTGAGGTCAAGTACGCTCTCCTCAACATGAACCAAGTCGCTGAAAGATTTGGAATCAAGCTCCTCCTCTGTGACAGCGTAGAAGGTAATTCGGTCGAATAAACGGAAGAGCCATGGGGATCCAGCACCGTGATCGATAAGCCCGGCCCTGCCCGAGCAAATCGAAGCACAGCCATGGTCCCAGATCTCCTTCGTCCTGCCGACAAGCTGATACCCACCGGGAGAGTCGGTAGCATAAATGCACATATATTGGCCCCCGATACCCACGGCTCCGCGAGGAGTAAAAGATCGCGATGGATTGTACTTGGACCCAAAGAGTCGATGTCGAGGATCGATTGGGATTGCGCAAGGAGACCCCATGAACACATCACCAAGGCCTAGAACCAGAAAGCTTGCCTCGTACAACAGATCAGCGACGGTCTCGAGCCCATTGAGCTCCGCCAAGAACTTTGTGTTGCTCGGAAGCCAAGGTGCTTGGTGCCGAATGGTGTTTCCATAGCGCTTAATGGCGGCACGACATACCCCGTCGTCAAAGGCAAGGGGCATGCGGAAAATCCGTGAAGGAACTTGTGTTGGGACACTGTAAGATTTCACATGCCGGGTGATGCGATCAATAATTGTACTCGGGAAGATGCCTCGTGAATACTGGACGTGCAATGTGAAGATGCCGGGTGTCAACTCCTCAACTCCTGGTATTGGGATCTTGCTGTGCTGGTCGCAAAAAGCGAATATCTCAAAACTCTGCCGCATGTCGAATCCCGCAACATCTCCGAATTCAAGGAGAATCGCTCTATCTCCCGCCTGCCGTGCCTGTATCTTTTGACTCTCGTCGGAAACGACTATGACGGGTTCGGTTGACAGCGATTGAGATATCATAGTATCTGGGATCGTGTTAATGTCATCGAGTCCCCGCAAATCTACAATCGCTCGATCGAGTTCCTTATCAAGGTCCATCGCCACTTCAGGGGTGACGGGTTTGAATCTGATTGTATCTCCTGGCCTTGACTGGCCAATCTTCCACATATCTGCGCTGGCAATAACGCAGAACACGACGAATCCTCCAAGGCTAGGTCCGTCACAGGTCAGGATCACGGCCTCATCGCCTGTGAAGCTGACGCTGCCGACTGAGTATGGGCTGTCGTGGATGTTGGAAGAATGCAAGCCAGCTTCACCACCTGAAGATCGTGCCCACTCGGGATAAGGGCCTTTAAGACGTACTCCCAGTCTATTGCTATTATGGTGAACCTTCCAGCCCTCCGAGAAAAGACGTTTGACCGAGTCTTCTGTGAAGTAATCTGGAGCGCCGTGAGGCCCAGGAATTACTCGAAGTAACCATTCAGCGTTCGGCTGGTGTGGAATTGGAAAAGGGCGGGTTATTTGGTTACTGGTGTCGACATCGGATGTATTGGAGGGAAATATTGGTATTATGTCATGCGCTCGTAGCTTTCGTCCATGGAATCCGCCAAGTTTGCCGATTTCAAAGGTGCTCCGGCTGCCCATTACTGTAACAACATCGATACCACCGCGGATTCCAATATACACACGATAACCATGCTCGATATCCCCAACTTGTAGGACTTGTCCCGGCTGAACCTTGATGGCCTTTGACACAGCGACCATGCTGCCATCTAAGGTCACTGTGGCAACACCTCCAGTAACTGCGACTATAGACTCTTGGTGAAACTTGAGGGCAGGACCTTGAAGAGTGCATTCCAGACCTGCAGCAGTCACGGGGTTCCCAACGAGTCTATTGGCCCACCGGAAGGAATAATTATCCATAGGACCGCTTGGAGGAATGCCAATATTGAAATATCCCGTTCGTCCTGGATAATCCTGAACAGTCGTCAATGTACCAGGGTCAAGGATTTCAAATGAGGATGAGAGAAATCGAAATGTGTCAAGAGATTTCGTGGTAAAATTTCCAGAACGTAACATATCCGACGCCAGAATCTGGCGCAAGTACTCAAGATTTGTCTGAAGTCCTTCAATCTTTGTATTTTCCAGTCCTTTGAGTAGCTTTTCGAGAGCCTCTTTACGATCAGCCCCATGGGATATGACCTTTGCTATCATAGGGTCATACGCGGTGGTTACCGTAGTACCTTGCTCAACCCAGGTATCGACTCTCAGGTTGTCAGGAAATATCAACTCTGTGATTTCACCTGCGGATGGTCGGAAGTTTTGAAGTGGGCTTTCTGCATAAATACGTACTTCGATTGAGGCACCCGTCAAAGCAACGTCCTGCTTAGATTCGGGGAACAGCTCATCCCAGCGGCTGTCCGCTGTTTTGATCATACACTCAACAAGGTCCAACCCAGTCACCTGCTCCGTGACTGGATGCTCAACTTGCAAGCGAGTGTTTACTTCGAGAAAGAAAAATTCGGCCGAGTTGATATCGTAAACAAACTCCACCGTACCGACGTTCAAATATCTGACCGACGATGCCAGGCGCAGAGAGGCAGCCTTCATTTTGTCTCGCACGTCTTGGGGGACCATTGCAGCCGGGCTCTCCTCAACAACCTTCTGATGGCGGCGCTGCAGAGAGCAATCGCGCTCACCAAGAGCTATCGCTCGCCCAGTCCCGTCACCGAGAATCTGGATTTCGACATGCCTTGCCTGGGTAATGAAACGCTCTAGAAACAACCCCCCATTTCCAAAGTTCGCCTGGGACTGTCTGGCCACAGCGTCAAAGGCCGCTGCGAGGCTCCCCTCGTCTTCGCAGTGGCTCAAACCTATACCACCGCCACCAGCAGTGCTTTTCAACATGAGCGGAAAACCAACTTGCTGTGCTTCTCGGAGGGCGTCATCCAGAGAGCTTAGGAGCCCTTGGCTTCCAGGAACAGTAGGTACGTCTGCAGCGCGGGCGATTTCCCGAGCCTTGTGCTTGAGTCCCAAGTCATGCATCTGCTTTGGCGTGGGACCTATCCACACCATCCCGGCGTCCTGTACAGCCCTTGCGAAGTCGGCATTTTCTGACAGAAACCCGTACCCGGGGATGATTGAGTCGACCTCGGAGGCCTTGGCCAACTCGATGATTTGATTTATATTGAGGTATGTTTCCGAAACAGTCTGGCCTTTGAGTTCCAGAGCAACATCAGCCGTACGGGCATGGGGAGATGTACAGTCCGAACAGGAGTAGATGGCTACAGCTTGGAGGCCCATCTTGTGGAGCGTTTTGATGATGCGGGCGGCTATCTCTCCTCTGTTGGCTACGAGGACCTTTGAAATTGTCTTCTTTTTGGACGGTGCCTCCGACCTTTGGATCGGGACTTGGATATGTTTGCTGTACGATCTCCAGCCGCCAAATTCTGTGATGTCTGTCGCACATTCTAGGCCAACAGGCTCGCATACAAATCCATGGATCCAAGAGCCGTCCTGAAGCTCGATTTTCCCAATCGAAAGCGGGGAAGGTATGGTTTGCATGAAGCTGGCCAGGGCTGAGCTAGGTAGGTTCCAAACCTCAACTTCGATTTCCTTGCCGCGTTGATCGGCGGGGATACGCTTCAGCCCGGGCTTGCTGACTCCCGACGTGGAAGAGAGGGCGAAAAGTCTATACCGGGATGACGTGGATGTCTGTTTTGAAAACGTCGCATTTCGAGAGGTGAGATCTTTGTTGAGGGGAAAGCCCGTGAGGTGCGCACCAACAACAGCGATCGAAATGACATCGTGGGCAGTCCGCGATACTGAGTTTGGAAGAGACCCTTCCGTGAAGCACTCTCCAGTTGCTCCGAGAGTTCGGGGTTCCGCAGAGCAACAAAACCGGTGAGCCAACTCTAGAAGTTGTGGCTCTTGCCACGCATTAGCAATAAGCGTCAGGCCAAATGGAAGCCCGTCAGGCCTAAAACCTGCAGGAAACGACAATGCTGACCAGTCCATGAAGTTGACAAAGTTGGTGTACGTCCCAAGCTTAGAGTTCTCCTCCACCGGCTCTAATGAGAGCTGTTCCAGTGTTGGGAATGTTGGTGTGGTTGGGACGAGAATGCCATCGAACCTAGCGAAAGCCGTCTCGATTTGTCGCGTAAGGTCTCGTCTCAAATACTCTCCAGCAAATGAGTCAGCCGCCGTGAACATCTCAGCACCTTTGATAATTTTACGAACGACAGGGTCCATCGCCTGTGGCTCAACGGTCTGAATGAAGGATCGAATAGCCTCGTATCTTTCCGCAACCCATGTGCCCGAGTACAGTAGCTGGGCAAGTTGGAATAGCAGGCTAAAGTCAACAGGCTCTAGCACCCAACCAAGAGACGCAGCCTTTTCCAAAGCCTTATCATAGGCAGGATGATGATCATCGCATCCGAACCAGTTCGGCTTGGAACATATAGCCAACCGAGGACTTGAGACAGACCCGACGTGGCCAAAGACAGTGTCCCGTTGTTCATGAAATAAATCCGGGCGTTTGCGAGAGTATGAGTCCTCCGGATCGTAGCCTTCTACCACTGACAAGACGAGTTGAGCGTCCTCCACGGTAAGGGCGAAGATGGAGACACAGTCTAGGGTCCTGCAAGCGGGGACTACGCCTGCAGTGCTCAAGGCTCCCCGTGTTGGTTTCAACCCTACAATATTATTGAATCCCGCGGGTACCCGGCCAGAGCCAGCCGTGTCAGTTCCGAGGGAGAAGGGAACGACACCGCGGGCGACCACCACGGCGCTCCCGGAGCTGGATCCGCCGCTTACACGGGTTGAATCGAATGGGTTGGGAACTGCGCCATAGGGTGAGCGCGTTCCAACCAGTCCAGTAGCGAACTGGTCCAGATTTGTCTTTCCGATGAGAATCGCGCCTGCGGATTTGAAATTCCGGACAACAGCTGCATCTGAGGCCGCCTTCCCAGAAGCGAATGACGGGCAAGCGGCAGTGGTAGCGAAGCCCTCCGCGTCGATATTATCTTTGATTGCAAAAGGCACGCCATAGAGCGGTAGAGAAGATGCCTTAGGGCCTAGACGCTTGAGCTTGGTCCACTGCTCTTCGATCTGGCGGGTATCCGCGAGGGAGATCCATGCATGGGTGTGAGAGTTGGCACACCGCTCTGCTTCCACAAGGGAACATAGCCTCTGCAGGCCGTTACCGGATATCTGAGCCGCTTTCCATTCAGAGATAAGCAGTGGAGCACGGCTACCAGGGTTTGTTTGGCCCATGACCGCCAGTTTGAAGTGAAACGAGAGATCAAGGAGACGCGTGAGCCAATCAGCGATCCCCTGAACGGATGGCAGTGGGTTGGATCCCTGAAGATGCTCCTAATTTGGTCGGAAGCAAGAGTTTTGATGATGAGGTGTTTGGAGAGAAGGAAGAGAGAGGGAACGCCTTTCCGTATTTAAGCTCATCATGCCCATTCAAGTCATTGCGCCTGCTGCCCCCGTCATCGGTACAGCTGCTGGAGGAAGAAGAAAGAACAGCCCAAGCTTCGCCCGGCGGCCAGATATGTGGGACACAATTGTCTAATCAACCACGCAAATTTGGCCGGTGGCGAGCTGCCCCGCAATGTCCACCTCCCCGGAATCCCGGACGGATCGTCAGATCTGGCCGGCGGCACGAGCATACGCAACCCGCGGGGAGAGAGATAGATACTTTGAGTCATTGTTTTACTAATTAGACCTGTAGACAAAGAGCCAGGCATGGAGCCGTTCTTCTAAACCCGGTCGGAGTAAGGAGGCTCGGCCATATGCACAGCAAGTTGAGACCCTTGGACGAGACGAGAGTAATCGTACAAATTTACCGTCTCTAGCTGCTAAGCGATGTATGCTGGAATTTATGTTTGATTGAATAAACCAAAAATGATCATTACGATAATGGCGGAAATTTTGTGGCCGTCTTGATATTTACTCATATGAGCGCCGGCGCCAGTGTGTCATCTGGTTTTTATGAATTTGTCAATGTACTTGGAACCGATGGCTATCATTAGACTAATTTAACAGTAGGTACAATGTTTTTTTGCTTATCTGGATTGAGCTCAATGGAACTGGAGAACACACTTTCTATACATTTTAACTGGTGACATATGGTGATGAATAACAAGCACACAATCTGCAGCCGCCGGCGGCGCAATCTGCTTTACCGTGATACGGTAGTCCGGCTTATCAAAGCAATCTGATTGGCCAATCATGCCATCATCCAATTATCAGGACTACTTGATTGGTCAATTGACGTGATCGGCCATCTTATCTCCAAATTGCCTACTTTGAGGATGTAGGGAAAGGGACAAGGTTTGTTCTTATCATTGCTGTGTTCCTGTTCTTACTACTTTTGATCCAAGTGGAATGACTACTCGGTCACTTATCAGGTAGGCGAAGGACGAGAGGCCTCATCGGCAGTGTATATAAGATCAACGGTTCCATTCTCGAATATGATTCATGAAAATGCCGATAGTCTCTCTGCCACAGCTAGTTTATTACCTTCGTTGTTCACCCAGTCTGAATCTTGAATTTGGCATTCATTGCGACCATGGCAGGAGGTGGTGGTCCGTCCTCTGGCACCGTTGAGCCACCGCTAAGCCAGGCCTACGGCTATGGCATTGTCGTGGGGCTTGGCTTTCTCTTTGCTCTCGGCATGATTCTGACAACCTGGATTTTGAAAAGGTTTATTACAAGTTCTCCTTAGATCCCTTTGACCCTCCACTTAGCTGGTGGCTAACTTCACCCCTTCCAGATATAACAACGAGAAGCAGACCTCTGAAATGTTCAACACGGCCGGGAGAACCGTCAAGTCCGGCCTCGTGGCCTCCGCTGTTGTTTCAAGCTGGACCTGGGCAGCAACTCTTCTGCAGTCTTCGGGTGTTGCTTACAAGTATGGTGTCTCGGGTCCCTTTTGGGTAAGAAATTTGGTCTCGCCTCATAGCGCGTAACGGCTCTGACATTCAAGGGCAGTACGCCTCAGGAGCTACCGTGCAGATTATCCTTTTCGCTACCTTAGCTATCGAACTCAAGCGAAGGGCGCCAAATGCGCACACATTCCTGGAGGTCATCAGAGCCCGATATGGTGTGTATTATGATCTCCAAGTGATAAGAAAAGCGAGACACTGATTATTACCACCCAGGTCGCTTAACCCACTGTGTTTATATTTGTTTCGGTCTATTCACAAATATCCTCGTTACGGCAATGCTCTTGACCGGCGGCTCTGCTGTGGTCACCTCCCTCACTGGCATGCACACTGCTGCTGCTTGCTTCCTGCTTCCACTTGGTGTTGTCATATACACTATGTTTGGGGGGTAAAGTTTAGATCAGCCTACCCAGATTGAACAGTAACACTAACCTGTTGTTCCAGGATCAAAGCAACATTTCTCACAGATCATGTACACACTGTTGTTATCCTCGTCATCATTCTTATTTTCGCTCTCAGCGCATATGCAACTGGTACAGAACTCGGTTCCCCCTCCGAGGTTTATCATAGGCTTGTAGAAGCCGCGTCTACTCACCCAGTCGAGGGCAATGCCGAGGGGTCTTACCTAACGATGAGATCAAAGGAAGGCATCATCTTTTTTGTTATTAATATTGTTGGAAATTTTGGAACTGTCTTTATGGACAACGGTAAGACTTTTATAGACCTTTTTAGAGTAGCAGATCGCTGACGCCTGGATTCAGGGTACTACAACAAGGCTATTGCGGCTCATCCTGTTGCTGCACTCCCCGGATACATCATAGGCGGTCTTTCTTGGTTCGCTATCCCATGGCTCTGTGCAACAACGATGGGTCTCAGTGCCTTGGCTCTTGAGAGCAGTCCGTCTTTCCCAACCTATCCCAATCGGATGGATACTGCAGATGTATCCGCTGGTCTTGTTCTTCCATATGCAGCCGTTGGGCTTCTTGGAAAGTCAGGTGCTGTTTGCACCCTTATTATGATTTTCATGGCCGTTACTTCAGCTGCTTCAGCTCAACTAATTGCTGTTTCATCCATTTTCACTTATGATATCTACAAGTAAGCTCAGCATTTGACTCAAAAAAATCACAGTTCCGAAAGCTCACATCTTCTACCCAGCACCTATATCAATCCCTCTGCATCTGGCAAGCGTTTGATTGCAATGTCGCATAGTTCAGTCATTGCATATGGTATTATTATGGCCGGCTTCAGCGTGGGGCTGTATTACGCAGGTATTAGTATGGGATGGCTCTATCTCTGGATGGGAGTTATGATATCTGCCGCTGTGTTACCCGCTGCACTCACCTTACTTTGGAGCCGCCAGAACTGGATTGCAGCAGCATTTTCGCCAGTTCTGGGGCTCTGCTGTGCCCTGATCGCTTGGACAGTTACGTGCTCTAAAGAATTCGACGGAGTCCTGAATGTGGAAACCCTCGGCTCTAATAACCCCATGCTGGCCGGCAATGTTGTGGCTCTTCTTAGCCCTGTTATTTTTATCCCCATACTTACCTTTGGCTTTGGAGCTGATAGGTACAACTGGGCATCTATGGCTGCTATCAAACAGAGTGATGACGGCGCTGCCTCCAGTGGGACTGCAGAAGATACAGAGAACGGCGATCAAACGGCCCCTAATTTCACCCTTACCGTTCCCGAGGAGGACAAGGCCAAGCTCAACAAGGCGTCCAAAATCGCCAAGGTCATGACGGCATTTATGACCGTAGCATTTCTGGTTCTATGGCCTATGCCAATGTATGGCTCCTCCTATGTTTTCTCCGAGGCCTTCTTCACGGGCTGGGTGACAGTAGGAATCATATGGCTGTTTGCTAGTGCATGCGCTGTTGGTCTATTTCCACTTTGGGAGGGAAGGCATAGTATGCTTCGTGTGGCCCGAGGTATGCTGGGCAAGGGATCCAATATTCCAGTCATCGAAGAGCAGGTCGAAAAAGAGATTGAGGGCGAAGAAGACCTGAGCAAGGAGAAGAACGAGGCTAGGGAGGGCTAACCACTGAAAATGGTTCAATGGATAAATAATCGTTCAAGTACAAATGTTCAGTAGCGTCTTTTTTGTGTGGATCGTCTTCTACATGTCACGTGCGCCCATTGATGTGGCAGGAGTACAAGAATCACAACCTACGAAGTTGATGGTGGATGTTAGTTAAACAAATGGAATCAGTTTCTACGGTGACAACTGGGAATTAAATTACTTTGGGGTTAATGCCAATATGCCGTTACCTCTATTCCAATCTAGTAAACATTCCAGCTCACTGATCTCGTCTTTGTCATGTGATTTCAAGTTGACGCTCCGTTGTTTTCTATCTTCATATCCACAGATCTTTATATTCATTCCGTCGTCCCTAGTCAAACACACCTCAGGCAGAGGCCCAATCATATCGCTTGCAAATGTATCTCTGCAGTCTAAGCTATATAATAGGCATATGTGCTACGCTTTGGTAGTCGATGCTGGCCTCCACCGACTCAACTCGGTCTGCACATGTCCCGAAAACACGATCCCAGAGCCGCGTTTGCTTGCCGTAATTGTAGCTCTTTCTCCAACCTTTGCGATGATGCAAATCGTGATCCTCAACCAGCAGCTCGGCACGAAACACTTCAAGTAACCAATTGAAAGGAGAAGGTGGTGATAGATGTACCCTGATACCGCTGTGTCCCCAGACCTCTGTATAGACAATGAACTGGTGACAAATCCACCACTGATAAAATCCCAGTGTTAGGCCCACCCATCTCATGGTTAAATAAGTCATTAGTGGCACAACAACCATTTCAATGAACTCCTGTTCCTCATCCGCATAAGCTGTGAGCAATGGGTTGGGGTGCTTGGTCAAGTGGTGCGTGCGATGGAACTTCCACAAGGCCGGCACCTCATGCACGGCGCGGTGGTATAAGTAGAACCAGAAGTCGAGTATGATGCCGTAGAGTCCAATCTGGAGGGCTAGCATCGGCCAGGACTTCCAATTACCCGCAAAGTCCGCCGGAGATATAGTTGCATCATAAGAGAGAAGGACAGCCATGGCCATACGGCAGCCAGAAGTTTTGATAAGGGATGCTATCGCCTTCGTAACTCCAGTATCTGGCACTCCATCTCGCTCGTGCTGATCCCCGTCAAAGAAGCCATAGAGATGCCCAAGGCGCCGAAGAATGTTGACTTCGCGGATAACAGTGGCGTTAAAGGCGAAGAAGTAAAGACTGAATATGGCAAATCGTCCAAGGCCTTGCCGTGAGGTGAAAATGAGCCAAGTTTGGTGCATGAACATTGGGACTAAGGCATGAGCAAAAACCCACAGCTGCTGAGACGCTTGGCTTAGGTGAGGTATCTTATCCGTCTTAGCATGCACTGGAACAGTCTGGTCCATGTCGAGAGGGTAGGCATTGAGTGCATGAATCAGCCAGTGCGATGCGGTCCATCTGTCCCTGTTGGCCGACCTCCATGTCGACTTCATGGGGCTATGCTGGCTCGTGTGCGTGGCGATAGTCGACATTTTTGCTGTCACTTGATATTTGGGAGGAGAGTGTTGAAACGTACAGACTAGATGCATATTTATAATATTTAGCTGAGACACGCTCTTCTCAGTCCCTCGTTGGTGGTGGATATTGAACTGCTCGAATCAAGTGTTTCTAGGCACAACGGTATCCTATTTAAGGTTTAGTTTGCGAGGTAAGCGGACCTCTGATGCAGCCGCCTCTGAAGTCCTTCGAATGGTCATGCCAGAACAAATTACTTATTGACATGTGTTAGTTCACGGCACATGTGATCTGTTAAATATTTTGAGTGTCACTTGTGTAGTTGATTGCAAATTGGCGGTATAAGTAGGCCAGTTTCACGGTGTAGCAACAGTGTCGCACTACCTCGATATTTAGGCTACTATGACTTATAGAGTGATAATAGGCCTTGCGATGGTTGCAATAAAAGTCTCTTGCACGAGAATGGCCGACTGTTAGCTTACTTAGCCAGTATAAAGAGCTTGTAAACTTCGCCTTGGTTCGCATCCTGTACACATTCGCATAATTCAGTTCAGTCTCTACTTGCCCAATCAGCGGACATCCGAGGCATCTCGAGACTAACCCCGCATCGGGGTGGTAGAACTAGCGTGTCCTTGCCTCTTTCGGAGACATTATATCATTTCTTCCGATCGAAATGGCATCTTCACACAGACTCAGCTGTTTACGGCTAATTGGCGATCCTCCTATCGCTCCGAACTCTGCGATTCCCGCCTACTCGCAAACTAAACCTTAAATAAGACACCGTTGTACCTAGAAATACTTGATTCGGGCAGTTTCAACGACCAAGGAGGAACCGAGACTAGGGGTGAAGTAGCCGAGGTTCTCAATCCATAACGAATGAAGATTCTGGATTCGGTTTCGGATTCTCTCTGCTCGTCTTGCACACTGATGACGAGCATTCCACCATAAACCCCGTTGACCACCTCTTGCCAGGCCCCATCGCACCTTGACTACGTATGAATCGTAAAAGTCTTCACCTCTCTCTGGCGCGCTTTACCACCCCGGGTTCCTCGCGTCATCCCCCACAAAATTGCATGGATTGAATGTTGTCTAGGGTTGCTAGAGAAAGGGGGGGTTGTCTCGCCGGTAGGGTGTCCAAGTAAGAGCCTAATTGCCTCAGTTGCTTCTTCGCAGTAGTAGAACTGGATGCGGCCAAGCAGGTTAGAGAACCATTGCGCGTTGTGCCGGCTGGCTGCTTCAAAGTCTGGTAGACTTACGGTAAAAGGTGGTGGGCTACATGATATTTATCGTCCGTCGAGCCTGGCAGTCACCCTCCCTACCTCCCCCCATGCCGTGCCCGTATCCCGTTGAATCTCAAGCTCGAGGCTGTGATCGTCTGATGTGAGTACACTGAGACGTCAAAGGAGTCGAGGTAGCCATGATAGACATCGCAGGGAGGCTGTTAATGATTAAAACGAGCGAAAGACATTCACGCGTACTGAAATAATCCGAAGGGAGGGGCGCTGCGGAAAGGGTAGATGCTGCAGGAGAGGAGGAGATGCTGCAGGAGAGGAGGAGAACAACATCTGTTGCCAGGCGGTGGTGCTTACGCAGGCTCGTCTATGATTGTTGGAGAGCAATCTCAAACCCTGTTGTCTTGCAATCAAGCTGTCGGCTGTAGCGAGGGCTTCTAGTGTTGCCCTCGGAATCGGATCATGCATATGCCATGCCGGAGAACTTCCCAAGAGATCTCTGGAAAGAGAGGTACGAGGCTGGTTGGTTGGAAGTTGTACATGTGTATACAGTGCTGTGTGTACAGCCAGGAGGTTGAATCTCCGGTCGATCGCCGGAGTGGTATATAGAGAGTAAGAGGCGCTGCAGGATGGGAATGACTTCAGAGAACATGAACCATTCTGTCCAATGGCGGATGTGAAACATTGTGGGCGGGTCGGGACTAAGTACGTCTACCTTGGTAGGTTAGTTCAATTCATTCATCCTTTGAAGCGGATTAATTCAATTGGAACGCATGGGCGGTCAATCTCAGCATGACTGGATTAAATCAGGGCTATATCAAATGAGATTGATAGCGTATCATGCTCCCATCTCCGTAGGATTGTTGGAGCAACGGCTTGTGGAGAAGTGCGGAAAAGCGCCAATCGCCAGGAGGCAAGATATCCCGAAGGAGATGATTCTGCGCCCGGGATCGTCGTGCGGTGCCGAGAAAAAGGCGAACCGAACGCGCAGCGACAGACGTGCGATACTGCCTTACCGACTCTCTGGTGGTTTCTATATAAATTGGTGTCTATCTCTCCAAGGCTGAGAATGTCTGCTATTAAATAACAACAATACCACTCATCCTCAAACCATACAAAGAAGATCTCGTTTCATCCCACTTCACCAATCCTCTCCCGAGATATTTCAGAATGCTTCCTATCAAGACTGCGGCTGTATGCCTTGCCTCTGTTGGCTCATGCGCCCCCGCCGAATGCTGTTCAAGGAAATTCAACGCCCCGGCCCATTACGACAAAGTCATCCATAACTACTTGAACGCGTGGAACGGCGACCTTTCGGTTGTCAACTCCACATTTGCCCCAGCTCTTTCTCTGGAAGGCGATATCCTTCCAAATGGCGCCGGGGGCTACAGTGCGGTTGGAGAGCTGGTGCACACTGCTTATGACTTTGAGCAGTTCATCAGGCGAGCCCGGAGCAACTTTGAGGTCTACACCTTCATCCTGAATAAGTGGGCAGGAAGCGATCATAATGTTGTCGGACGCTGGACGCTCAATGCTGTGATCGCAGATACATTTGTCCTCTTCCCGACGTATGTTCTAATACCCTTTGTTCTCTTCATGCTGTGCTGCATTTAGCTAACAAAAATCACCAGGACGCTCAAGCCAGGTGACAAGGTGTCATACAACGGAACGGATTTTCTCACAATTGACCCCTGCACAGGACTGATCACAGAGGTTGCAATTGCGCAAGACTTGTTTAGCCTTGCTGTAAATCTTGGAAACGATGTCATAGTACAGCCAAAAAATTGAGAGGGAGAGACTATTGAGGCGGTGTCCAAGTGGCTCCGGTGGAAGAAGATCAGTAGGGGGAACCGAATGAGGCTGACGTTTCACAGTGGATATTTTTTGGGATAATAATAAAGGTTGTAGATTAGTTTGCCATTTCTATTGATGTTAATTTATGAATTCTCAATGTGGTCAGGAATAAGCCCTGGTGCAGGTAATGAGAACCCAGTGGTGCTAATTTGTATTCGACTGGCTGATGCCCCTCCCATTGCAAGAGCTATTCGTATAGGAGCACACATCCCAAAACCAAAAGTTCTGCTAGTTGCATAATATGGGTATGGATCACAGGTTGATCAAATATTTTAAAATGTCCCTCCCCATGTAAGATCCTCCGGCCTAGCCAAGGCAGCAGGAGTCACCATACTGCATATAATATTTGATTCGATGGATTGTTCAAACTCTACCTTGATTTCTCCTTACCTTGATATCTCTTTACATACCTGCGAGTTAAATAGATGAAATTAGACCTTTGAAAGCCTTTGTCAGGCAATGGCTTCTTCTGCTCAAAAGTGTTCTCGTTCTGCGAGGTGGAGGCTCCCTCTGGATTGGTGGTGCTGCCATGCTCAATGTGAGAGTAGCCATCGTTCAAATGATTTCTGTTGTCGGTGGGATTTTACCTAGTCAGTGTCTTTTGCTTGAGGCAGATCCATCTGTAAGTCTGCTCAACGCCGGGGAGCTGCGGGCTGAACGCTCTGAATTCGATGACCCTGCGGAGTTCAACACGATCCACGGACTCTTGGGTTCCTTTTTCCACAAATCGGCTTTATGAATGGGCAAGGTGAACGTGTATGATGAACCTGAACAGATCGGCGTCGCTCACGTTGGACCACAAGCGGTCTGATTTGATGATTAAAACCAAAGTCCGCAGACCTCCGTGTATCCCTCCGGCCGGTCCATGGATGCCACAATGATTGCCCAATCGAGGACCCTGGTGCAGCCCGAGTCAGACGATTGGACCAAGTGCGTGGTGGGGCCGGTAGAACAAGATGGCAAGTCTCACTTTACTGATTAGGGCAATTAAAGTCAGTGGCAGGGCTGGCTAAAGGGATGGGTTCATCCGACTCCGTCTTATTATTTGTGAGCACGGCCTAAATAATGTCATGCTTGCGTGGTGGCCTAGCAAAGCACCACTCCTGGACTTTCGAGATAATCGCCACTCACATGATCCCATCCTCAGCAACCATAATTTCCACTAGCCTTTATCATGCATAACACTTAGGGAAGATGAGGACAAAATTTAGGATGGATAATCTTTGCGTGCCATGGAATTTCGAGGCGACGACTAGTGAGTAGGGGATGTCTATAATTATCGTAATAATGAACGATACGAAATCAGACCGCCGACTCATTTTGAATGGAATTCTCAAACCCCTTTTCAGGAGACCGGATCTCGCTCGGCCTTCGGGACCGACCTGAGTGTAAGGACAGGCCATTAGAACTCGTGCCAGTGGAGTCAATGCCCTGGTCAATGAGGGACCAAAATCTCACTAGCTCAGATCTGAGATAATAGCATTTGCGGACTTTGGTAATAAGGCGGCATTGAGTTAATGTTGCGTGGTTAAGTCCGCCTTCTACAATACAGGTCTTGAGAATATAACGGGTATGCTTCCTGGCGGATAGGTTAAATCACCCTTCCACAATGCATCTCTTCTCTTCAGCAGTCTCGGGTGTCCGCCGCATCTTTCTAGAAAATGTCCGATTTGTTTACCGAGAAAGCAGGGGAGGAGCGTAAAGGGACGTCAAACGCGTCCGATACGGAGGTGGTCGCTGACTCCTTCAGCGAGAAGGCAGAGCACGTCACTGAACAAGATGAACAATACCCACAAGGTTTGAAGCTCATTGCCCTTGCAGGGGCTTCGCTATCCGCTGTCTTTCTGATTGCTTTGGATCAGGTATGGACTTCTGCTTTTGATACTTTCTGTCCAGTCTTCTGAAGAGGTTTCCTTCTGACATTTATTTCAGACCATCGTCGGCACAGCAATTCCAAAAATCACTGCCGAGTTCAACGGGCTTGATGATGTTTCTTGGTATGCCGCTGCCTACTTTATGACATTTGGAGCGGCACAAACCTCGGCCGGCAAGACCTACAAATTCTTCAATCTCAAATGGACCTTCTTATGGTCCATGCTCATCTTCGAGGTAGGCAGCCTCATCTGCGGTGTGGCTCCTACCTCGAAAGCTCTTGTAGCAGGTAGAGCTATTGCTGGTCTGTAAGTTCTTCCCATTTATCTTATGAAGTATAGGAATTTTGGGCTAATATCCGTCGTGAAAAGCGGAGGTGCTGGTTTATCAGTAGGCGGCACGAGCATCATTTCCCTGACCGTTCCGCCAGTTCGGCGGCCCCTGATGATGGGTATCATCGGCATGACTTATTGTTTAAGTGCTGTCTTAGGTCCGCTCTTAGGCGGCGCCTTTACCGAATCAGTTACCTGGAGGTGGTGCTTTTACATTAACCTGCCCATCGGGGGACTCGCCGCAGCCGCTGTTGTCTTCTTTTTCCACTTGCCCGCTGCCGCGGCGCCTCCCCCGGCTGCTTGGAAAGAGAGGTTGCTGCATATCGACCCAGTCGGCGTAGTACTAGTCATGGGGGCTATCACTTGTTTTATTCTTGGGTTGCAATATGGAGGAATCACCCACCCCTGGAACAGCAGCGTTGTCATTGGTCTTCTCGTCGGCTTCGGTGTCCTCTCAGTTGCGCTGATAACATGGGAAATCTGGATCGGAGAGTACGCAATGATGATGCCGCGCCTATACCGGCGACGATCCCTCTCGGCAACTGCCCCATTCCAATTCTTCTTCATGGGAAGCTACATTGTTCTGCTATACTACCTCCCCCTTTACTTCCAGAGTATTCTCGGCGTCAGCCCCATTCGGTCCGGCGTGAACAATCTTCCCCTCATGGCATCAGCCGCCGTTTTCGCGCTTGTGGGTGGAATCGTTGTTATGAAGACTGGTAGAGCGCAACTCGTTATGATGCTAGGGTCGATGGTTACGACCGCCGCAATTGGTCTTATCTATACTTTGGATATCGGAACTTCCACGGCTAGATGGGCTGGCTATCAAGTGTTTGTTGGCTCGGTCATGTCCTTTGCCATCATGCATGGCCTGGCTGTTGCTCAAGCTGACGTAGGTCCAGAAGACCTCTCAGCAGTGACGTCCAATCTTTTATGTATGTTCCCTGTCACATTATTTCAATGCCCAGCTCAGAATTTTAACTAACAACTCAACCCGGAAAAGTCTTCCAAACAGTTGGAGGAGCCTTCAGCACCTCAATAGGGCAGTCAGTCTTCGTCAATAGACTGCTCCTCGCCTTGGCCGAGTCAGCTCCTGGCGTGGATCCAAATCTAGTGTTATTCACGGGAGCCTCGGACCTGCAGCACGTCTTTTCTGAGGAAGTCCTCCCTGGGGTCCTCAAGGCATACATGGTCGGTCTGAAAGGTTCTTTCGCCGTTGCGATAGCCTTCTGCGGTTGCGCCTTTCTGATCTCGCTAGCTATTCCTATGAAGAAGCTTCCAAGCCATGAGCCAGGTGAAGGCCCTGTGGCGATGGCATGATCTCAATGACATAAACTATAGAATGGCTATTTCTTGTATGTCTCATGGTCCGTCCAAAGAGGGTACAGAACTTCTCTTTGGTTGGAGCGCGTACCGAGCAACTTGGTTAGGTGAAGTTATTTGGGTCTAGAGTTTCCAATGCTGGCATTAACGGGTTCTGTGTCCCATTCTTTTTACTTTAGATAACGGTTCAGTAGAACACAGCTTACATAATATCTAATAATGCAGGTCAATCGGAATAACCTATTGCTATTACCTGTGGAACAATTCCCTTCTAAATTTAGACTACAGAGGCAGGTCATATTCGAGGGAAGCTTGTTTGGCTACAAGTCCACCAGGACACAAGGTTCTTACTGTTAGGCCGTTGAGGCAATGAGCATGTTGCCACAAAATTCCCAAATGCAGGCAATATTATTCGAGCTATATCTATATCTCTCCTATTGTATATGTGTATCATGAGGGCAAGAACAATGATCCTTTGGAAAGTCGCCTATTGGTGTTGTTGTGTTTCGTATATAGCCAGTTTTCAATGAGTTTTATTATTGCTGGATGGGTTGTTGATCTTGTTTCTCTCTTTCGTTCTTTCTGATATGAGCAGGCGTACGCGGAGTCTTCCAGATTGTTTCCTGATATAGCGCTGGATCCTTAGATGTTGGCATCAGCCTCCCCGCAAAGAACAAGAAATGAGTGAATTTGCTTTCTCTCACCGCAGAGACTTGGAAAGATTTGAGGAGAAAGATCGGCCATAGCAGGCAACTATTTGTCAATATACTATCGTCAAATGACTTTGTTAGCTGCAACTGGACCTGGTTTCGAGCCAGGAATATTCAGTAAAAAAAGTCAAGGCTAGTATCTAGGGTTGCTTTCGTTGATATTGATTTACTGCTAATCCTAATTAGGTTCCTTTGATAAGTCTTGATTTTTGATGGGTGATGACTGAACCGGGTATTGGTCCCATGAATACGCGTCACCGGTAACTGTGTCCAGGCAACCCCCAAAGGCGCTTCCCCATATAATTCTCGAATTTTCGCAGCGGGTATCTCTTGGGTCTTTGGAGATATCATCCAATCCCACAGTATCACGTTTCACGTCGGCATCATTCACATCACAATGCTAAAAAGGTCAACCGAAGTTTATACAGCACACACACTCCCCCTCGAGTGCGATATCTACGCCACCAATACTGTACCTGACGATGCTCCAGCTGTCCTATTTTTCCATGCCGGCGGGCTTGTGAATTGGAACCGACAGTGTATTCCTCCTTGGCTTGTGCAGGTATGGAATGTCTTCTTACAGACTTCCTTTATATGACTAAGAGTGTCTAATTGATTTCTAGATATGTTACCGACATGGATGGATTTTAATGAGTCCATCATACCGTCTGCTGCCCCAATCGAGAGGCCCAGAGCTTCTGCAAGATGCAACAGCGGCATACGACTTTGCACGGACTTGGGGCCGAACAAAGAGCATGCCACGAGATGTTATTTTATGTGGAGCGAGCGGAGGTACAGTCACCTTATAAACTTCAACTTGATGACTGGATAATACTAAAGTATCAGCTGTAGGATTTTTCCTAGTCGCACTTATCTTGAACCATTACCTTCCACCGCCGTTAGCGGTACTATCTATAGCGGGGATCAATACATTCAGGCACCCGTTCTTCAATTCATCTACCCTGCTGGTACAAGAGCCCATCCATAATGAAATGGTCACTCGCGCCCTGGATGGGCCAGTAGTTACTGGCACCAAAAAAGCCGGGTTTGTCGGAATCTTTCACCCCGACAAGCTCACAGCTATCGGATCTAAGAATGTCAACTATGTGTACCCGCCAGAAATCGAAGAATCGACTGAAGCTACTCAACGTGGCTTATTGTATGAGTACTTGATTTATAAAAATCAGTATCTAAATATAGTAGGTAATTTGGACCGAGGGTACGACTGGGCCAAGGACCCTGAATATGGCTTCAAGGTGAAAGATTGGCCAGTCAGTATAGTCATTCACGGGGACGCAGACCGAGGGGTCCCTCTTGACGTGAGCGAGCAGATGCGAGCATGCTTAGGTCAAGACAAGGTTGTCATTTTCGTTGCCAAGGGTCAGGATCATCTGTTCGAATTGGATAGATTCATTGAAGACCTTGGACCAGAAATGGACACTGTTCGAAGTGCGGTAGCATATCTTGTTGATATTGTAACCACAAAGAAGCGCTCTGCTAGCTGCCATCCATCTGACTAGAAAGTTGAGGCAGAAGTAGAGTAGAGGCGAAGCAAATATAACGAACTGGGCGTGGCCGGGTACCGATGATGCAATACCACTACGGGAGACTCGAGATATCACGCATAAATTCGACGAGACATATTATTTGTAGATAACCTTTATGGTTCTCCTGCACAAATATTTCATAACTAGATATCATCAATGCAACCAAGCTTCGACCCATTTCACGACCAAGATGAATGGTTTTGATTCAGCTGAACTATCGAGAGTCTGTTAGCTTGTTATGTCTAGTGGTGCTGAACGTCTGGAAGCTTATCATGCTAGTTTTAAGCCACGATTGCATTTGCGGTGGCTGTGTTCTAAATGTTATTAGTTTTAGGAGAGCCATGATGACACTCAAAATAAAACGACCTGCAGTAACGCGGTGCTAGCGATTTTATGGCCTGATGAATCGGGCTAGATACGGTGGGTTCAAAACGCTAGGGTAAGGCCATTCTCCTCTTAACCCCTGATCTAATCGTCATCGTGAGATGGGCGGGAGAAAATTGAAGATGGCAGGGTTGATCTCTTGAGCCGGTGGGGCCTTTGCAAGTTGACATTAAAACCGACTTAAACCTTTAAGCAAGATGAGAATATGATTCACCAGATTCATTGCGTCAAGGACATAAGATGATCGAAGCAGCAGATGAAAGGTAAGCCTAGTGATAAGAAAACTACTAACCTCCAGCATTGAGAGCTGCAGTTTAAATGAGTGGCATAGACTATTGTAGCCTAGCCAAGCCCTCAAGTAAGGCTGATTTTAGTGTTGCTTGCTAGACATGCAACACTGCTCATTAGACTAATAATTTCTTGGGAACCTCATAGTGAGGCCTCAATTAAGCCACTTTCTTAGACCGAAGGCCGCTCAATTATCTTCCGTCTCCCCCCGGCAAGCCTTATCTGCAAAATTAAATCTGAAGAAATATGACCAAGTACATTTGCTGGCAAGAACTACTACCTGGTAGAAACCTGTATCTTAATCAGTCGGCGGAGGGCTCACATCGATGATCGGCACTAGGGTAGACTATTGATTTTGGTGGATGCCAATCCTCATTTCCCCTGGATCTAGCCCCATCCCCTGTCTCTTATCTTATGGAGGCGATATACAAAAGCACGATGCGAGAGGCCTTGCATTTTTTTCTCCTGTAGGCTATCGCTCATTTTTGGTCCTCAAGAAGTGATATTCTCCCTCCTGAAAGTCGAATTCTCGACCGACGTTCGTTACTTCACCAACACTCATTTCTCGACGCTCTTTAATACCACTACGAATCAAATCCATTATGCTCCTTCGACCCGCCCTCGTTTTAGGCTCCCTTTTGGGTGGTGCCGCGGCAAGGTGCGTCAGCCGATCCTCTGTGGCCTCGCCATCTTCGCCATCTTCAGTTCTCTCGGATGTCTCGACTACTCCTGTCTTCACCCCTTCCCTCACTCCTACACCAGCGTCTTCTACCTTGCTGTCATTGACCACTCCACCCTCGTCTTCCACCCCGGAATCGTCCAGCACTCCAGAGGCGTCTACTACTCCAGAGGCTTCCAGCACTCCAGAGGCTTCGGGTACCCCAGCGGCTTCCAGTACACCAGAGATTTCCAGTACACCAGAGGTTTCTAGCACTACAGAGGTTTCTAGCACTCCATCCAGCACCCCAGAAGCGTCTTCGACTTTGGTCTCCTCCAGTGATGTGATCACTCCGACTCCGTCACTCACCACCTTTGTGACTTCGGCCACTTCGACCTCTGTCGCGTCAACTTCCTCAGCGGTTTTGTGTGTCGAAAACAGAGGTACGAATACTTTCATCATATCTATCCCTCCCAAATGATCTGCCCCAAGCTGACCCAACTCATCAATTAGGTGCCTGCACTGCGAGCTCTGACTGCTGCAGCGGTAGCATTTGCTCTTTCGGCGTCTGCACTCCAGAACAATGCGCGCCAGCCGGATATGAGTGTAGCTTCGATCGACCCGACCTTTGCTGCGGACAGACTTGCTACAGTGGCTCGTATTTCCCCAACCCTCAGTTCCCCGGAAACACCTACAATTTCTGTGGCTAGTAAGGTTAGAAGCAAAGCACCGTGCTTGGCCAAGCCGAAACCCCCCCCGTTGCCCAAATCTTATGCAGATGTTCATCAGAAAATTAGATAAATCAGGAAAGCTATTACAGAGAGCTTTGCCCCTGGAGCAAGACAATATCAGTAGCAAGTGATATAAGCACCCGGGAAGGAACCAGCTTATTCTATCAGACCTATTAAGCTGTACTAAAATATGCCTATGATTAATTTAGCGGCCACGCTGCTCATAAATGACTGTCCACATTTGAGTTTACGGTTAGAATTTTGTTTTAGATATTAGATGTATTGCATCTCCTATTCCTGCTGGGTGGTAGCATGGCGTCCTTATGATGGCTTGTAGCCGAAGCTTCATGTAGGCCTAGTCAAGCATGGACGGCTGTTATGAGGTGTAATTGACCCTTAACAGCTTGTAGATACGTATTACGACGACACTAAAGCTCACACAGCTCTGGGCGTAGTCTGAAGGCCTCCAAACTGCTTATTATGCAGCTAGCCCAGCCACATGGACTCTAACAGCTACCATCCTTGGTACGGTGAATATTCTACTCGTACACATTTGATATTTTACGTTGGCTCAGTTATTTCTAATTTATTAATCACTATACATCTATCACTGGAGGATATGGCGGGTATTTTAACCATCCAAGTACTCAAGAAGAAGCAAACCGTCTCGAGGATAGCATTTGGACAACTTCCTCTGACAACCGACTGACCATAGACAAATCTGGGTCATGATCAGGATTCACTTCTGCAATCGTGAGCCCTGCCACCTTGTCACTCGCCAAGAACACACCCAATGCGGCCATCATTTGCTCAAAAGTTACTCCGGTGAAGTTGGGGACATTCGCCAATGGGAAAAAGAGTGGATCGATCGAATCCACGTCCAAGTGGACCATGATGATATCGGTGTTCTCTTCCAACCGTTTAAGTGCCCTTCTTGCGGATTCTTCTGGAGAATGAGCCACAGATTCCGAGCTGACGACAGTGTATTCATTGTCAAACAGATAGGCGAAATGCTCCGGCTTGTTCCCCGCAAATCCCATATTGATGCCGAAGAGGACCATGTTGCTCGGGTCGCAGACAGCCTCGCCAGACGGGCGTGAGAATTGTCGCATGGCTTCTAGCCCGCCATCTAGTCCAATGAGGTGTGTCGTATTCATACCAGCGAAGTTCCCCGTCGAGTTGGGGTCATGTGGGGAGGCGAGATCGGTGTCAGCATCGATATAGATAAAACCAACCCGTTTCTGGGGCGATTGTGAAGCGGCGTGCTCCCAAAAAGACGAGAGGATGGCCGGACACATGCAACACTCTCCCCCAAGTACAAGTTGGAAGGGCGGTTGATTGGATGGGGAGGTCGCTAAGTTTTGAGAAACAGCACGACGAACAGATTGACACACAGATATGTTCAATTCCTCATTGCGGACGCTTCCTTTTGAAAAAGGCTTGACGGAGTATCTGGCCGGTGATTCCAACGCATCAAGCTCTGATACGATGGGTACCCCGGCATCTCGTAACTTTTTGACTATCCCGGCATCCTGGAAGGCTTGCGGTGCCTTTGATTTGCCAGGAATGACAGAGCCACAGTCCGCGGCGACGTAGGTGATTGCTACCGAGCGCGAAGCCGCCATCTTTTTCGTTTTCAAAGTGCTTATGTTGTCAATGGATAGAATCTTTGTTTCAATTTAGGTACTATCTCTTGGGCCTGTACCTTGGATTATACTTTTGATGGCTCCGCCGATTGGTAATCCTGGCTATGTCGAGCCAAGGGCGTAGAGGGGAACACTTTCCTCATTAGAACAACGGGTAACTTAAGCCTTCTATCTATTCCGCTTCAATTGGTAACCTCTAGCGGTGGCGAATCGTCTCAAATAGGGTGCTCATTCCATCATATTATCGAGCAAACAGCCTAGGTAGCCTTCGCTTAGTGAGCAATATCCAATTTTTTTTTTATATTTCTCTGTCAACTTCTACTCAAGTTTTATGTGATTTATGAAAAAAAAGAGGAGACAGCCCAATTGGCTAGATATTCCAGTCCGACTGTTTGATTTGAAAGGGGGTTTTTTTTTTTTCGAGCCCTGCCGCAAGTAATTGTTGACGTCAGAGGCTTTGACGCAAGGGCGCAATGAACATCGCCAACATGACCAAAATGATTATCTAATCATGCAATATGACTAAATCCTCCATTCACTGGATAAGGGTAAAATAATCACGCGATACATCAACGGCAACTGGGCTCCACTGACGACATGGAGAGACGATGTTGAATTAAATTTAGTCAATGGCGGAAGTTAACAGCTGCAATAGTCAATTCCTATGAAAAAAACATCCCTGTCGCTACTTGGATCGCTATGTCGAGTGAACTCTAGGTACATTTGTTCCGTGACGGTGGACTCTGGTAGGTCTCTAGGGTAGGGTGTGTACCAGTACCGTTTCAACTTTACCTCATGTCTAAGGGAGTGCCAATGTGCAGGTCGCATTCTTCACCAGATGGGTGCTTGATTGTGATGAAATCGATCGAAAGAACTTTACATTATCTCAATTTCTGATGCTGAGAAGTTCGATGGTAAAGAGCGTGTCTGCATTTGAAAGTATGCTATTCAGTTACGGAGCGCCGTATAGGGTAGCTAAATGGGGATAAAATGCCTACTACTTGCCTCTCTCTCCATCTGATGCTTATGACCTCCTTCACAAATGGTTCAGTTTGGTTCACGTCTTTAGTGACATCTGTCACGATGAACCCACACGGGTGTTTTATTCAGGCCCCATACCAGTATCAACTCTTACCCGGTATGTATGCATCAGTCTTCCTCGCTTTCTAGCGGTTCCCTTGACCCAGAAGAGGGGAAAAATTTCTACCGTTCCTCCAATAAGCGCCTTCGACTCATCCCGAATAAGTTTGGTCGGGTGATGGTCAGCGGCACCCCGACGTCCCAAGCGCGAAGGCGATGCCTCGAACGATGCGCCGAACGATGCTCCGAACGATGCTCCAGGCAATACCCCGAAAGACACCTCGAACGATGGCACAGGGGATGGTGAAGGTGAGGTGCTCTGATGACGAATACAGGCGTCGACCGTGAGGGAACTTGTGACGATCTGCTGGGTGTTTCTGAAGGTGACGACGGTAGGTAATATGAGGCCCAATGATCATCTACAGTAACAGTTGGCGCTGATAATCGCTCCAACAACGACGATTGACAGGAGCGAAATCGATGCCGATGCTATTTACCCGTCTTCCACAACGCGAAGGTTACTCCTGCTCATCTCTCCACAGCTGGTTTCTCTGTTGATCGCCTTATCGCTCTAAAGTTGGTGTTTTCCTTCCCGTTGCTTCACAGAATCATTAATATTGGCTAATAATTTAATCTTTACTCATCTTCACAGCCGGATCATCACACTCATAAATCGTCGCATCACAACTGTCAGCAGCCGAATCCGTGGCATCAGACCGGCCATCACCATTGGACGAGCGAGACCATCATGCTTGGCTCAGATCACTCGTCAATCGACGTTCAAGTTTGAGCGAACGGGGGTCGCGCTGCTGTCCTCAGCTTTGGAAGATGCAAAGGTATGCGGCAGCTGCTAAGAGAAGAAGAAAAAAGGGAAAATTTCCAAACACCAAGAATTCAATAACTTGATACCATACCCAGTATCACAATACATTAAACTTCAGCCTTTTTGCCCGGCTGTGAGGCTTGCGCCCGGCTGCGCGTAAGGTTCAACACCAACAATGACTGTGCCCGGCAATGACTCTTTCGTCGGTATGACTCCTTTCATGAACCTTAATATGCTGCTTTCTATCTATTCGAAGGCCGCCATCTCTGACCCGAATGAACCACACAGCTCAAGTCCATATCGACAATCCGCCTTTTTACAAATCGCTACCTTCGTCGCTCCATCAGTCAAGTCCGTCGACTCCCACACATCACTACCTTCGCCGACAATCGAATCACTCGACTCCTTGCCAGAATCACACATCACTACCTTCACCGACAATCGAATCCCTCGATTCTCGCACATCGCTGCCTTCATGGACGCACTCGGGTTCAATCATCCCACCGAGCCCGCGTCTCGCCCAATCTGCTGCCAACCACACATACGCTGAACCTCAACACCAGCTATCAACGAAGTTAGCTTCCTATCACAAAGGCAATAGGCGCTCACACACATACGCATCAAGACGGCAAAGAGGAAGTCAAAGGGAAGATAACAGGCAGTAGCAGTAGCGCCTGCTAGAAGACGCTCACCTGTATCTCAATCCCTCTTCACTTTCGCCGTACGACCCACCACCGGCGCCAAGCTTCACATCGTTCAGATTACGTCGTTGAGATTGACCACCCCGAGAATAACCCCAATTTCCAGAAGAAGGTTGCCACCATCTTTCCCCCTGAGGCTACTAAAAACTTCGCCGTGGCCTTCCAATATGTCATCTTCAGAGTAGCCAAGCACCGACGATGCATGCGCTTCATTCAACGACATTCTGCAATCGCAGGATCCTTGTTAGCTTGATGCCTATCGCAAGGCACGATTGGCAGCCCATCATTTCATCTATATCACCGAGAGCGGCAAAGTAAAGGTGAATAAGTATAACGAGTAAACTCTGGGATCCATCTCAACGAACTGAAGACCGGAACCTGCATCTTCATGAACCGTATCTCGAGCGAAACCATCTTTGCCACTTGTCGAGGTAATGGATGCGAGTCCGTGGTGGCAAAGCTTCTATGCCGAACTCACCAGGATAACCACCAAGGCGACACACTCCACGACTGCCCACGCCACTACCAGGAGATGAGAGAAGGATAGGCACGAGAGGCCTGCAGTCAAAATAGGTGCAGTAGGCAGCCGACTACTCACTAATGCGCTCGTGGGAATCTCCATCGGCTTCCCCCGAAGCCATTCTATCACGGCAGAATGGCTCCCAACCACGGAGAAGAAGCCATGTGTGAGCACGATAGCATATATAGCCAAAGGTGCAACAGACAGCCGACTACTCGCCAATACGCTCATAGGAATCTCTACCAGCTTCCCTTAAAGCTATTTCAGTAGGATAATTTCTAATTACAGAGAAGAAGCTAGGTATAAGTATAATAGTATATATAGCTAAAGGTTTAACAGATAGCTAGCTATTTATTAATACCTATACTTATAGGAATCTCTACTAGCTTTTCTTAAAGCTATTTTAATAGAATAATTTCTAACTATAGAGAAAAAGCTAGATATAAGTATAATAATATATACAGCTAAAGATATAATAGATAGCTGGCTACTTACTAATAACTATACTTATAGGAATCTCTACCGGCTTCCCTCGAAGCTATTTCGGTAGAATGATTTCCAACCACGGAGAAGAAGCCAGGCATGAGCACGATGGCATGTGCAGCCAAAGTAGGTGCAACAGACAACTGGCTACTCACTAAATCATGAATACCCGCGCCCTTGCTGGCTAGGATGTGCAGCGCCCGCATCGGTCCGCCCCCTCCACGGCATTTCAATATCAACGCGGAGGGGATGTATCACATATACAGCCCAAGAATAAGATTGATCAGACTTCTATGCCACAGCCCCAATTGTCGAATCCAATTTGTTGAAGCGAAGAAATCGACCGCCAATAATGCTACAGGCACCCAGACACCTGCTCCCATGAAAATGGAAGAGACCACACATCCCTCACAGGTGGAAGTTACTGGAATAGCCCGGGTTTCTCAATTGACTCAGAAGAACCTTGAAGCTCGTTGGGGTGAGAGGCTGTTGCATTTCGCCTCCCGGGCGCTCTCCGTCCGCCCGATTTTACTTATCGAGTTTCCGTCTGATAATCTGTCGACGACCCTCATCACGGGGCTGCGGGACACTATAAGTATTGTATATGAACCCCGGAACTTCATCAACGAGGGCGCCTACCCGCCCATAGGAGATAAGCACAACTATACCGACCAACGATTTACCGACCGCGATATCACCGATTAATTAAGCTACTATACTACCGAGGCCGGAATACTGCCGGGTAATAGAGATATAATTGGAGATAACAGAGGCATGCTCGCTGAAGACGCCGCTACTGTGCAGGATACCGCCCGGATCGATCTGACGGCGACCTTTCCCTCTCCTGTCCCCGTCCAGCTATCCCATCCGCAACTTTCAGTCGAGGCCTTTAGCAGCCGGCGTGGCAGTACTGAAATCCCGGGATGAGTAAAAGATAAGAACGAGGCTGGTTTTGATTTCTTCCACAGGTTATAATAAATCTGCCCTTCCTGGGCTGAACGCTCTTATAAAGTCTGATTAGAGGGGGGCCCTGAGCCAGAAGTCTGCTCCTCCTTCGTCTGCAGCTTAGAGGCAGAGCCTACAGCTCGTTTCTAGAGGCTAGCTTCGGAGATTGTGTTGAGAAGCTCCCTAGGCCAGAGCAGTTGCGGTTTCGGACCGAAGGGGTTCCAGCTGGTTGAGGGGTAGGCTTCACGGGCGGAAGAGTAAAGCGAGGAAAGCGAGGGGAACGAGACGCATCATCACTTGGGAAATCAAAGGTTCCCGTTGACAAGAGAAGCCCCTCTGTTATTGTTGTTGTTGTATTGTTGAACGTCGGTCACCTTCCCCTAGGGGCACAGGGCGTAGAAGCCCCCTGTTATGGTTGGCCAATGTGTCGAGCAGCGGCACAAAAAACTGACCATCAAAAGGGGTATAACAGCCAGGAAAAACAACAGGCAGTGGCAGGCCTGTGATCGACAATGGCCAGTTGAATCGGGTGGAAATACAAACTTGGACAAAGGTTGGCACGAGCGATCGTAAGGGCTGCGAAGGCAGTCGGCACACTGAGCCAAAACCGAAGTGTAGTTGAGAAGAGGTAACAGCGAGGATGTATACAAGAGGAATTACTGGAACCCAGTCAATCATCGTCGGATATTGGCACGGGGTAAAGCGGTTTATCGCTTCTGGCAGGAATTTGCATCGTGAAAAGGGAATCGGCCTCCCATAGCACGTTATCGTCATTGCAGCAGACAGACGAAGGCAGTTAGTCGTGGCAATATACGAGGGGGCTGTCCAGTCTTCGATGAAGGCGAGACGCCAATCAGTCGCCTCCCGAGCAAATCTCTGAGAGGTGCTGCGCAATGTACACGTGCCATCGTGCTCATACGCAGTTGCTGAGCGGTGCATTACATTCTAGACCCTCTGAAGTGGGTGCAGGAGAAAAGAGACGCCTAACGGAACAGGGTTTACTTTCCAAGATAGATCAAGAAATTCAGTAGTAAAATAAAATAAAGTAACCATAGTCATTATATTAACTCTCAATTATGTACCATGGGCACTCAATAATTTGATCAAACCGGTCGCAGAGTCGAGAATAAGCAGCTCAATGCTCGTGTGCCTCAATTTCAATGTCACTGGTCCACGAGAATAAGGGAACTCTTCAGGCTCCACTGATCCAAGACTCGTCTTGGCTCCTTCCGGTACAAAGGCATTGTTGATAAGAAGACAGTAGCCCACATCAAGAATAGAGGACGGGATAAGATGCCATCTTTTACGAGGATTGATCTCGCCTCTCTCAAAACGTACAAACATGTGCGCTGGAACCTGTGGCAGCCTCCTCGGAGACTAAAGGAGAATTCCGTAAGAAGAAAAATCGTAAACGTGGAGAACGGAGAAAGAGGGAAGGTGCTGTCATTCGCGAGGATTGATCTTGGAAATGCGTGTGGCTGCCCATATAACGAGCTAGTCGCGCAGAGGAAGACCGACGACAATCAGACAGAGAGATCACAGCACCGCTTTACATCTTAGAATCTGAAAGTTGCTTCAAGATACTTATATCTCAAGACATGCCGAATTGAATGTATCAATGATTGGCCTTTTTGTGGATGAATCAACTGAACTTTTCCTCTCGTGATCCTGGGCGTCATCTGTTCGTAACCAATGTTAATATTTTGCCATGCTTGATATTCATTGATTCTGGGTTTCCCTCGAGTGACCTTTGTACTGATTGAACATTCCAAGGCTTATATCCTTCTCTTTCCACGACCGATCGATTACGGACAAAGAAAGACATGTACGAATGAGTCCTGTACAGACATTAGAGGCGCCGGCAAAGTTTGGCTGGGATCTCGTTAAGTCTCTCCAGACAGGGTTCGTTTTTGCCGTTTCCCAACCCTCATGATGCGAATGCACAGGGTCTCGATTCATTTTTCTAACCCAAAAGGCCGATATCATTTAACCCTATCCATTAAATGTTAATCGTGCTTCGACGCGATATTTTGGTGCACCTCTGACTGCATGACTGCTGGCGGGAATGTATGGACAGTAGCTTCCACCAGCAGACGTAGACAGAAAAGCCATTCTGGTAGTAGAGTATAATGTGGGATGCCTTCGGGGGAAATCACAGTTGTCGGATATGCCATCCCCGACTGTAAAAACCAATACCGCCATGCCAATATCATTCCGCCCACGCTGGAATCTCGTGGGTCTAATCTTGACAGTATTGTAGATGCCCTGGTATACCTGAGGCCTGTCCCCGAGACCGAGCTGCACTTCAATTCGAAAAG